GTTTCATACAACATCTAAGACGCTCTCGTTGCTACGCTTGCAATTGTTTCATACAACATCTAAGACGCTCTCGTTGCTACGCTTGCAATTCTTTCATACAACATCTAAGACGCTCTTGTTGCTACGCTTGCAATTGTTTCATACAACTTCTAAGACGCTCTCGTTGCTACGCTTGCAATTGTTTCATACAACATCTAAGACGCTCTCGTTGCTACGCTTGCAATTGTTTCATACAACTTCTAAGACGCTCTCGTTGCTACGCTTGCAATTGTTTCATACAACATCTAAGACGCTCTCGTTGCTACGCTTGCAATTGTTTCATACAACTTCTAAGACGCTCTCGTTGCTACGCTTGCAATTGTTTCATACAACATCTAAGACGCTCTCGTTGCTACGCTTGCAATTCTTTCATACAACATCTAAGACGCTCTCGTTGCTACGCTTGCAATTGTTTCATACAACATCTAAGACGCTCTCGTTGCTACGCTTGCAGTTCTTTCATACAACTTCTAAGACGCTCTTGTTGCTACGCTTGCAGTTCTTTCATACAACATCTAGACGCTCGTGTTGCTACGCTTGCAATTGCAATTGTTTCATACAACATCTAAGACGCTCTCGTTGCTACGCTTGCAATTGTTTCATACAACATCTAAGACGCTCTCGTTGCTACGCTTGCAATTGTTTCATACAACTTCTAAGACGCTCTCGTTGCTACGCTTGCAATTCTTTCATACAACATCTAAGACGCTCTTGTTGCTACGCTTGCAATTCTTTCATACAACATCTAAGACGCTCTCGTTGCTACGCTTGCAATTGTTTCATACAACATCTAAGACGCTCTCGTTGCTACGCTTGCAATACAACATCTAAGACGCTCTCGTTGCTACGCTTGCAATTCTTTCATACAACATCTAAGACGCTCTCGTTGCTACGCTTGCAATTCTTTCATACAACATCTAAGACGCTCTCGTTGCTACGCTTGCAATTCTTTCATACAACATCTAAGACGCTCTCGTTGCTACGCTTGCAATTCTTTCATACAACTTCTAAGACGCTCTTGTTGCTACGCTTGCAATTGTTTCATACAACATCTAAGACGCTCTCGTTGCTACGCTTGCAATTGTTTCATACAACATCTAAGACGCTCTCGTTGCTACGCTTGCAATTCTTTCATACAACATCTAAGACGCTCTCGTTGCTACGCTTGCAATTGTTTCATACAACTTCTAAGACGCTCTCGTTGCTACGCTTGCAATTCTTTCATACAACATCTAAGACGCTCTTGCTGCTACGCTTGCAATTCTTTCATACAACATCTAAGACGCTCTCGTTGCTACGCTTGCAATTGTTTCATACAACATCTAAGACGCTCTCGTTGCTACGCTTGCAATTGTTTCATACAACTTCTAAGACGCTCTCGTTGCTACGCTTGCAATTCTTTCATACAACATCTAAGACGCTCTTGCTGCTACGCTTGCAATTCTTTCATACAACATCTAAGACGCTCTCGTTGCTACGCTTGCAATTGTTTCATACAACATCTAAGACGCTCTCGTTGCTACGCTTGCAATTCTTTCATACAACATCTAAGACGCTCTTGTTGCTACGCTTGCAATTGTTTCATACAACTTCTAAGACGCTCTCGTTGCTACGCTTGCAATTGTTTCATACAACATCTAAGACGCTCTCGTTGCTACGCTTGCAATTGTTTCATACAACATCTAAGACGCTCTCGTTGCTACGCTTGCAATTGTTTCATACAACATCTAAGAGCAAAAACGGCGACGAGAATTGAGCTGGCGCTGTGGTGCCGTGCAAAAACCCCAAAAAAATGATCAAAATTCGCACCCCACGCGAGAAGCAAAAAACACTGAGAGGGGTGTCACTTTTTCATGGGAATGTGCGCAACTACACGCGCGGTTTCACACCCGGCGGGATATTTATGTATATATATATATATATTTATTTATTTATTTGGAGAAACCAAGAGAAAAATTTTGGAGAATCATCCAACGGAGCGTAACTGGTGAATAATTTGGTAGTCGTAAGTCTAAAGTTTGTAACCTGTATACATACATATATATATAGTATATAAATAAATGAAAAATAAATAAGTAAATAAATTTAGACAAATATAAATAAATGGCTTATAACCCCCAATTACCAAGAAGTTACGATACGTGGGATGATCCTCCAAGTATCCAACCCACAATCGAGTCATGAGGGCTTTACCCAGAGTTACTCAGTTCAGAAACGGCATTCACCTTACAGTTCACCCAGTTTTCTTGCTGTTTCCACGCCTTTTTCAAGATCAGGCATTTGAACAACGACTGCTCAGAAGGCCAAAGTTCCACTACACAACTATCATCAACAATCATCAAAATATTGCGTAATTCGAGCCCTTTGGTCCCAATTTGGGGTTCCAGCATCTTGGCAAAGCAAAATTAATGACACCTTGAACTAAAGACTCGTCAGCTGATCTTGGACCGCAGAGCTGTCACCGCCACAATCTGGATTGCCCCAGGTGACAACAGAGCCATCTTCCACGATGGCAGCAAATGCTTCACTTGTGGCCTGAACCTGCCGCACACTCCTCAGCTGATCTTGGACCGCAGAGCTGTCACCGCCAAAATATGGATTGCCCCAGGTGACAACAGAGCCATCTTCCAAGATGGCAGCAAATGCAGAGCCTGTGGCCTGAACCTGCCGCACACTCTTCAGCCGATCTTGGACTGCAGAGCTGTCACCGCCCTCGCGTGGATGGCCCCAGGTGACAAGAGAGCCATCTTCCAAGATGGCAGCAAATGCAGCGTGTGTGCCCTGAACCTGCTGCACACTCTTCAGCTGATCTTGGACTGCAGAGCTGTCACCGCCACTACCTGGACGGCCCCAGGCGACAACAGAGCCATCTTCCAAGATGGCAGCAAATGCAAAGCTTGTGGCCTGAATCTGCTGCACACTCTTCAGCTGATCTTGGACCGCAGAGCTGTCACCGCCACAAAGTGGATTGCCCCAGGCGATAACAGAGCCATCTTCCAAGATGGCAGCAAATGCAGAGCCTGTGGCCTGAACCTGCCGCACACTCCTCAGCCGATCTTGGACTGCAGAGCTGTCACCGCCCTCGCGTGGATGGCCCCAGGTGACAAGAGAGCCATCTTCCAAGATGGCAGCAAATGCAGTGTGTGTGCCCTGAACCTGCTGCACACTCTTCAGCTGATCTTGGACTGCAGAGCTGTCACCGCCACTACCTGGACGGCCCCAGGCGACAACAGAGCCATCTTCCAAGATGGCAGCAAATGCAAAGCTTGTGGCCTGAATCTGCTGCACACTCTTCAGCTGATCTTGGACCGCAGAGCTGTCACCGCCGTCATCTGGAAGGCCCCAGGCGACAACAGAGCCATCTTCCAAGATGGCAGCAAATGCTTTACTTGTGGCCTGAACCTGCCGGACTCTCTTCAGCTGATCTTGGACTGCAGAGCTGTCACCGCCAAAATCTGAATGGCCCCATGTCAGAACTCTGTCGCCCCCGCAGCACCACACTGCAAAAGCATATCGAGTTGCTGCTAGCTTTGCTTCTCCCACAATGGCTGTGAGCTGGGCTCCATCTTGAAGCCCTGCAGCCTCAAGAAATTCTGATGGTTTCAGCTTGCGCTCATCTGCGGTGATAAGCCTTAGAAAGGGCTTTCCCAAAGACTTCTGGACCATCGTTTTCAAGTCTCCTACTGTGGAGGCCAGTGGAATTGAAAGGCTCGCACCGCGACCACTCGTCAGAGACACGGTCACTTGGAGCATCTGTTCGACGCGAAACATCCAAAGGCCGGAGCAGTCCGTGTTCAATGCTACTATCTTGAAGCAAATTTGAGTCAAAATGGCAAATAAACTCTTCTGTTTCTTGCACCTCCCAATTGCCAATGATGATCATGATTGTCCGATTTAACATATACCCTATGTTCTGCAGGAAAGAATGAAACATTCACCATATGTTTGTCTTCTTATACCCGAACTAACATTGAGTATACTTATACAGATTGATTCCATTTGATTCCCGCATATAACCAACATTAATCATGATTTTGTGGATGTATACGATGTATCCCCCAATATTTGACCTCTTCAACACGCAGCTTTCCGCCCGTTTCAACGACATCTTGCTGCCTTCACCTCTCGGCACTCCTCTTGAAGCTCTCCGATGACCTGCGCGACACGGGGAGGTTTCAGGGGAGGAAAAGTTGGGACTTTAGTAACAACGGTGGTTGGTTCGCCGGTAAAAATGGTGTTTTTTAGCAGAAAAGGTCAATCAACGATTTCTATGGCCATGTTCAATAGCAAACTGTGAGTTTACCAGGGGGTAGGTGGTAAAACTAGGGATCAAACTAGCAGGGATCAAGCTAGAAAATGTGGCAATTTCCCTGGATTTTAGGTTTATGCGTATCAAACAAGCAAAAACTGGAATCAAACTAACGAAATGGGGAATGATGGCCGATGACTCTCTGATACAGTGGTGAAGCTAGTTCAGGCTGCCCACTTTCGTGAAAGCCACCATCCCTTTCAGTCGGTCCCGCGCCTTCACGTCTTCTTCGATCCTTTTCTCAAGGGTTTTCTTCTCCACCTTTCCAGCTTGTCAGCTGAAGCAACACAGATCGTTAATTTTTGACGTCAATTTCAGCTAAGCAGTGCCCAAAATACCAAGTGGTGGATCATCAAAGGAGTTATCCTACATGGTTATGGTTCATGGGGGTGATTATAAACCGAGAACTGAGAACTAAAACAAACAGCCAGAACCCAATGGGGTTATACCAATAGAAAAGGGTATGGCACATGCATGTGGGTGCAGTTCCAATTGGGGGTTAAATATCCCACCCTCTTGGGGGTAATAATCCCATGGTTATACCGTTATACCCATGACATCACAGCAACTGCACCCCCAAGTATCGTTAAAACCCCAGCTTATGGCTAAGCTCCTCCGAAAATCCCAATGTTTTGTTGGTATTTTTCCATTTTTGTTGGCACCTGTGCCCATTGAATGATGGCAAAAATCGGCCTCCACGTGCTTCAATTTCTCGTCAGCCTGAAGAATTTGTCAGGTCCACCCCGCAGCGGCCAGTGCGGTCAGTGGCAAATTTGCCCATCAAAATTGGTGAGTTTCCTGGTAAAGAGGAGTTGATCAATCAGAATGGTGATTGAAATCATCAAAATTGCGATCGTCCCCACAAAAAGATGTGGATTTAACATGACTTGACTGAGTCAACCAATCAAAACTAGAGATTTGTGGGGAAAAAATCGACTTAACAAATATCCTTTATGAAATAACATATATATAACATGTACATGTGTAAATATATATATATATATCATTGCACTACTCACAAAGTCGCGCTCAACAGCACGCCACGGTGCCTCGCCGCGCAGCAAGGACATCTGCTCCAGCAGTTGGGTTTTCTCTCCCTGGCGAAATCGGCTCTTCAGATCACAGAAATGTCAGAACCAAGAGGAAACTTTTGGAGGATCATCCAACGGAGCGTAACTGGTGAATAATTTGGTAATCGTAAGTCTAAGGTTATCTCCTGTAAACATATTTTATGTATATATGTATATATATATATACGATATATGTTTTAAAAAAAATGTAATAAAAAAATAATTAGTTAATTAATAAGTAAATAAAATACAATAAAATAAATGGCCTATAATCCCAATTACCAAGCAATTACGATACGTGATGCAACCCACCATCCAGTCATGAGGGCTTTACCCAGAGTTACTCAGTTCAGAAACGGCATTCACCTTGCAGTTCACCCAGTTACTTGCTGTTTCCACGCCTTTTTCAAGATCAGGCACTTGAACAACGTTTGCTCAGAATGCAGGAGGCCAAAGTATCATCAACGATCATCAAAATATTATGTAGTTCGAGCCCTTTGGTCCGAATTTGGGGCTCCACCATCTTGACAAAACAAAATGAATGACACCTTGAACTAAACATTCTTGAGCTGATCTTGGACTGCAGAGCTGTCACCGCCCTTGCCTGGATGGCCCCAGGTGACAACAGAGCCATCTTCCAAGATGGCAGCAAATGCACTCCTTGTGGCCTGAACCTGCTGCACACTCTTCAGCTGATCTTGGACTGCAGAGCTGTCACCGCCACAATCTGAATAGCCCCAGGTGGCAACAGAATGGCCCCAGGTGACAACAGAGCCATCTGCCAAGATGGCAGCAAATGCACCACAGGTGCCTCGAACCTGCTGCACACTCTTCAGCTGATCTTGGACTGCAGAGCTGTCACCGCCATAATCTGAATCGCCCCAGGTGACAACAGAGCCATCTGCCAAGATGGCAGCAAATGCACCACAGGTGGCTTGAACCTGCTGCACACTCTTCAGCTGATCTTGGACTGCAGAGCTGTCACCGCCAGAATGTAGATGGCCCCAGGTGACAACAGAGCCACCTTCCAAGATGGCAGCAAACGCATAGTATGTGGCCTGAACCTGCTCCACACTCGTCAGCTGATCTTGGACTGCAGAGCTGTCACCGCCGTCATTTGGATTGCCCCAGGTGACAAGAGAGCCATCTTCCAAGATGGCAGCAAATGCAGTGTGTGTGCCCTGAACCTGCTGCACACTCTTCAGCTGATCTTGGACTGCAGAGCTGTCACCACCACTACCTGGACGGCCCCAGGCGACAACAGAGCCATCTTCCAAGATGGCAGCAAATGCAAAGCTTGTGGCCTGAACCTGCTGCACACTCTTCAGCTGATCTTGGACTGCAGAGCTCTCACCGCCATAATCTGAATCGCCCCAGGTGACAACAGAGCCATCCTCCAAAATGGCAGCAAATGCCTGTTGTGTGGCCTGAACCTGCCGCACACTCTTCAGCTGATCTTGGACTGCAGAGCTGTCACCGCCAGAACCTGGACTGCCCCAGGTGACAACAGAGCCACCTTCCAAGATGGCAGCAAACGCATAGTCTGTGGCCTGAACCTGCTGCACACTCTTCAGCTGATCTTGGACTGCAGAGCTGTCACCGCCAGAACGTGGATTGCCCCATGTCAGAACTCTGTCGCCCCCGCAGCACCACAATGCAAAAGCATGTCGAGTTGCTGCTAGCTTTGCTTCTCCCACAATGGCTGTGAGCTGGGCTCCATCTTGAAGCCCTGCAGCCTCAAGAAATTCTGATGGTTTCAGCTTGCGCTCATCTGCGGTGATAAGCCTTAGAAAGGGCTTTCCCAAAGACTTCTGGACCATCGTTTTCAAGTCTCCTACTGTGTAGGCCAGTGGAACTGAAAGGCTCTCACTGCGACCACTCGCCAGAGACACACTCACTTGGAGTGTCTGTTCGATGCCGGAAACATCCAAAGGCTGGAGCATCTTTTCAAGAAATCCGTGTTCAATGTTACAATCTCGAGTCAAACTTGAGTCAAAATGGCGAATAAACTCTTCTGTTTCTTGCACCTCCCAATTGCCAAGGATGATCATCATTGTCCGATTTAACATATACCCTATTTTCTGCAGGAAAAAATGAAATATTCACCATATGTTTGTCTTCTTATACCCCAGCTAACTATACTTATACAGATTGATTCCCGTATAAGCAACATTGATCATGATTTTGTGGATGTATACGATGTATCCCGCAATAATTTGAACTCTTCAACACGCAGCTTTCCGCCCGTTTCAACGACATCTTGCTGCCTTCACCTCTCGGCACTCCTCTTGAAGCTCCCCGATGACCTGCGCGACACGGGGAGGTTTCAGGGGAGGAAAAGATGGGACATTCACCAGTAAAAACGGTGGTTTTTCGCAGAAAATGTGGGAAGTTCCCTGTATTTTAGGCGTATCAAACAAGCGAAAAGTGGAATCAAACTAACGAAATGGGGAATGATGGCCGATGACTATGATACAGTGGTGAAGCTAGTTCAGGCTGCCCACTTTCGTGAAAGCCACCATCCCCCCTCAGTCGATCCCGCGCCTTCACGTCTTCTTCGATCCTTTTCTCAAGGGTTTTCTTCTCCACCTTTCCAGGTGTCAGCTGAAGCAACACAGTTCGTTAATTTTTGACGTCAATTTCAGCTAAGCAGTGCCCAAAATACCAAGTGGTGGATCATCAAAGGAGTTATCCTACATGGTTGTGGCTTGTGGGGGATTCAGAACTGAGAACTGAGAACTCCTAAAAAAACAGCCAGAACCCAATGGGGTTATACCAATAGAAAAGGGTATGGCACATGCATGTGGGTGCAGTTCCAATTGGGGGTTAAATATCCCACCCTCTTGGGGGTAATAATCCCGTGGTTATACCGTGATACCAATAACATCACCGCGACTGTACCCTTAAGTATCGTTAAAACCCCAGCTTATGGCTCAAATCCTGCAAAAATCCCAATGTTTTGTTGGTATTTTTCCATTTTTGTTGGCACGTGTGCCCATTGAATGATGGCAAAAATCAGCCTCCACGTGCTTCAATTTCTCGTCAGCCTGAAGAATTTGTCAGGTCCACCCCGCAGCGGCCAGCGCGGTCAGTGGCAAATTTGCCCATCAAAATAGGTGAGTTTCCTGGTAAAGAGGAATTGATCAATCAGAATGGTGATTGAAATCATCAAAATTGCGATCGTCCCCACAAAAAGATGTGGATTTAACATGACTTGACTGAGTCAACCAATCAAAACAAGAGATTTGTGGGGAAAAATCAAGTTATCACATATCCTTTATGAAATAACACACACATATATATATATATCAAATGGAAAGGTTTCAATTGCGCATGAAGTCGCGCTCAACAGCACGCCACGGTGCCTCGCATTGCAGCAAGGACATCTGCTCCAGCAGTTGGTTTTTCTCTCCCTGGCGACATGTCAGAACCAAGCGGAAAATTTTGGAGAATCATCCAACGGAGCGTAACCGGTGAATAAATTGGTAATCGTAAGTCTAAGGTTATCTCCTGTAAACATATATATATTTGGAGAAACCAAGAGAAACATTTTGGAGAATCATCCAACGGAGCGTAACCGGTGAATAAATTGGTAATCGTAAGTCTAAAGTTTGCAACCTGTATACATACATACATACATACATACATACATTACATTACATTACATTACATTACATTACATTACATTACATTACATTACATTCATACATACATACATACATTGCATTGCATTGCATTGCATTGCATTGCATTACATTACATTACATTACATTACATACATACCATACATTACATACATACCATACATACCATACATACCATACATACCATACATACCATACATACCATACATTACATACATACCATACACATACATACATATCCCATACACATACCATACATCATACCATACATACCATACATACCATACATACCATACACATACCATACACATACCATACATACCATACATACCATACATACCATACATACCATACATACCATACATACCATACATACCATACATACCATACATACCATACATACCATACATACCATACATACCATACATACCATACATACCATACATACCATACATACCATACATACCATACATACCCATACATACCATACATACCATACATACCATACATACCATACATACCATACATACATACATACCATACATACATACATACCATACATACATACATACATACATACATATACATACATACATACATACATACATACATACATACATACATACATACATACATACATACATACATACATACATACATACATACATACATACATACTACATACATACATACATACATACATACATACATACATACATACATACATACATACATACATACATAACATACATACATAACATACATACATAACATACATACATAACATACATACATAACATACATACATAACATACATACATTACATACATACATTACATACATACATTACATACATACATTACATACATACATTACATACATACATTACATACATACATTACATACATACATTACATACATACATAACATACATACATTACATACATACATACATACATAACATAACATTACATAACATTACATAACATTACATTACATAACATTACATTACATAACATTACATTACATTACATTACATTACATACATACATTACATATATATATATACTGTATATAAATAAATAAATGAAAAATAAATAAGTAAATAAATTTAGATAAATATAAATAAATGGCTTATAACCCCCAATTACCAAGAAGTTACGATACGTGGGATGATCCTCCCAGTATCCAACCCACAATCCAGTCATGAGGGCTTTGCCCAGAGTTACTCAGTTCTCTTGTTCAAATCCCCATTGCTATTGGAAACACGTTCAAATAATTGATGGTTCAGAAACGGCATTCACCTTGCAGTTCACCCAGTTTTTTTGCTGTTTCCACGCCTTTTCAAGATTAGGCATTTGAACAACAACTGCTCAGAACGCAGGAGGCCAAGGTTCCACTACACAACTATCATCAACAATCATCAAAATATTATGTAATTCGAGCCCTTTGGTCCGAATTAGGGGTTCCAGCATCTTGGCAAAGCAAAATTAATGACACCTTGAACTAAAGACTCGTCAGCAAATCTTGGACCGCAGAGCTGTCACCGCCACAATCTGGATTGCCCCAGGCGACAGCAGAGCCATCTTCCAAGATGGCAGCAAATGCTTCCCTTGTGGCCTGAACCTGCCGCACACTCTTCAGCTGATCTTGGACCGCAGAGCTGTCACCGCCACGATCTGGATTGCCCCAGGTGACAACAGAGTCATCTTCCAAGATGGCAGCAAATGCATATTGTGTGGCCTGGACCTGCCGCACACTCTTCAGCTGATCTTGGACCGCAGAGCTGTCACCGCCACGATCTGGATTGCCCCAGGTGACAACAGAGTCATCTTCCAAGATGGCAGCAAATGCATATTGTGTGGCCTGGACCTGCCGCACACTCTTCAGCTGATCTTGGACTGCAGAGCTGTCACCGCCAGAACCTGGATGACCCCAGGTGACAACAGAGCCATCTTCCAAGATGGCAGCAAATGCTTCACTTGTGGCCTGAACCTGCCGCACACTCTTCAGCTGATCTTGGACCGCAGAGCTGTCACCGCCAGAACCTGGATGGCCCCAGGTGACAACAGAGCCATCTTCCAAGATGGCAGCAAATGCAAAGCTTGTGGCCTGAATCTGCTGCACACTCTTCAGCTGATCTTGGACCGCAGAGCTGTCACCGCCACAAAGTGGATTGCCCCAGGTGACAACAGAGCCATCTTCCAAGATGGCAGCAAATGCATATTGTGTGGCCTGGACCTGCCGCACACTCTTCAGCTGATCTTGGACCGCAGAGCTGTCAGCGCCACGATCTGGACGGCCCCAGGTCACAACAGAGCCATCTGCCAAGATGGCGGCAAATGCTTCACTTGTGGCCTGAACCTGCCGCACACTCTTCAGCTGATCTTGGACCGCAGAGCTGTCACCGCCCTCGCCTGGAGAACCCCAGGTGACAACAGAGCCATCTTCCAAGATGGCAGCAAATGCCTTGTGTGTGGCCTGAACCTGCTGCACACTCTTCAGCTGATCTTGGACTGCAGAGCTGTCACCGCCAGAAAAGGGATTGCCCCATGTCAGAACTCTGTCGCCCCCGCAGCACCACAATGCAAAAGCATATCGAGTTGCTGCTAGCTTTGCTTCTCCCACAATGGCTGTGAGCTGGGCTCCATCTTGAATCTCTGCAGCCTCAAGAAATTCTGATGGTTTCAGCTTGCGCCCATCTGCGGTGATAAGCCTTAGAAAGGGCTTTCCCAAAGACTCCTGGACCATCGTTTTCAAGTCTCCTACTGTGGAGGCCAGTGGAATTGAAGGGCTCGCACTGCGACCGCTCGTCAGAGACACGGTCACTTGGAGCATCTGTTCGACGCCGGAAACATCCAAAGGCTGGAGCATCTTTTCAAGAAATCCGTGTTCAATGTTGCAATCTCGAGTCACACTTGAGTCAAAATGGCGAATAAACTCCCCTGTTTCTTGCACCTCCCAATTGCCAAGGATGATCATCATTGTCGGACTTAACACATACTCTATTTTCCGCATAAAAAAGAAACATTCACCATATGTTTGTCTTCTTATACCCCAGCTAACTATAATACAGATTTATTCCCTTATAACCAACATAACCATGATTTTGTGGATGTATACCCCAATGTCTGAACTCTTCAACCCCCCAGATTTCCGCCCGTTTCGAACAACGACTTAGCGGCTGCCTTCACCTCTCGGCACTCCTCTTGAAGCCGTTCGATGACCTGCTCGACATTTGGAAAGGCCCGAGGGGGAAGAGTTGCGACTTTCCCTAGATTAACCATTGTTATAAGCCTTATTAATGGTGATTAATGATAATTATATAATGGTGGTTAATGGCGATTAATGGTGATTGGTTGTTACCTCTACTGGTTGTTACCTCTACTGGTGATTGGTTATTACCATTTAACCCCCATTAAATCACCATTTAACCACCATTGAATCACCATAAAAAACCACCAGTAAATCACTCTGGTAAACGTTTACACAACTCGGCTTTCGACCACCATTTCGCTGGGTAAATCCACCAATGGCTGACTCTCTGCTCGTCATGGCGCCATTGGGATGGGAATGAGGAGGAGGAAAATCATCCTACGCTAAGATTTCAATGGCCAGTCTCCATAGTAATTCCCATAATCTATATATATATTTGTCATTAGATAAATATAGATATAGATATAGACTAGATATAGACTAGATATAGACTAGATATAGAATTATATTTTTTTCAGCAATTGGTTTCAAATTTTCGAAAAACCGCTGATGGGAGTCTTTCTGCAAGACCACGAGGATGGTGATGGTGAGCTACTTGGCAAAAAATATGTCGACCCGCAATCCTATTGATCTTGCCAATGCTAGTAACCATCACCATAAATGATTGAGTATGATCACCAAATGATATGATAAAATGCTCACCATAAATGATCATCTGATGTTTTTTTACTCAATTGGCCATGGGTCAAAAGCCTGGTACCCCTGGTGAAACCCATTTTTTAGATGGGATTTATGAATGTTCATCATTGTTCATCCCATTCCAATTTTCCATTTGATAATTCCCAAAATAGAAGTTCATCCAAAATTAGACCCAAAATCCCAAAATTCATCCCATTCCAATTGATAAATTCATGGGGATTTTGACCCACTCCCAATTTACTCAATCGGAAAATCACCAGTTTTAATGGGAAATCTCACTATTTCAATGGGCCATTTCAATAGCTACGTTAGTCATTACCGGAGGGTACTCAATCGCTACGCAATCGCTCTTGAGGCGAGGCGCCTTCTCTTGATCTCGATCCAACAAAATCTCCAAGTCACACAGCGAAGCCTGGGGAATGTTGGAGAAGGGTCCTTCCAACCATAGGAAAACCATAGGAAAACCATCGGAAAACCATAGGAAAATGGTGATTTAATGGTGATTAATCCATGATTTTCCTGGTGATTAATGGTGATTTACCCTCTGGTTATGACATTCACAGTTCGCCATGGTTTGTCGATGGTCCATAGAAATAGATGGTAAACACCGAACTTAAAGATGGGTGGATTTTCGATGGCAAACTGTTAAATAACCAGAGGGTATATCTGGTATATCTGGTTGGTGGTGCAATTTCACCATGTTGAAAAATATGCTCAAGACTTCGTCAATGGGTTTCGCATGACATCCCATATATGAAATGGAAAATAAAATTCATGTTTGAAACCACCAACCAGATATCGTTATGGGTCCCAAATTCTCGTTACAAACCTCTGGCCGCTGGCCAATTTCCGAAAGCGTTGACCAAGACGTCCTCCAGTGGGGACATGGCGCAGCCAGGCACCTATGGTCCAATGGTCGATTCTTAGATGTATCAAACTTGGGTTCTAACCACAGGTGGTAACAAAAATGTGTATTAGTACCAACAAGATATATAAAACATGACATTCTTAGATGTTATAACCACTATAAACCAACACAAACATATCATGGTTGTAAAAATAAAAATAAAACACCATTTGTGGTAACAAAAATGTGTATTAGTACCGTATCTGTATCATCCAAAAGTAGATAGAAGGAATGTTCAATCATATGACCATTGCACCTTGTTTTTTGATTCCATATTCTATCTACTCCAGGATGATTACATATGGTCTTTCTGGGGTTTATCACCAAACCAAGACAACGAGAACGGAACTTACCCTCCTTGAAACTACGATGTGGAGTTTACCCATCATAGATCATCTTCCTCCAGGATGCTGCCCTCCAGTGATGGCTATACTGCTATGTTGGTTTAGTTTCACCCCATGAATACTACAGGATGGGGCCCCCAAGATAGCGTTCAGTAGGTTTATAAATGGCTGAAATCTATGGTTTATGGTAGATATAACTATAGATAACTATGGTATTCATGGGGTTTATAAACCAACTTATAACTGGGGGGGGCCCACATTGTAGTTCGTTATATCCACCATAAACCATAGATTTCAGCCAAATCAGAGGGCAACTTTGTTTTTTTCGCTCGGGCCACCAGCGCCACCTCCAGTCTTTGCTTCTCCTCCGTGGCATCCTCCAGCAAAGCGCTCTTCTCCTGTTCCAGAGGCCCAAAACCAAAGCCACCAGGTAAGCAACGAATGAATTTGCAATGTGGGCTTCAAGATCGTTTTAGAGATGTTTAATGGAAATGTTATAGATGTTTAATGGATTGTTTATAGATGTTTGATGGAAATGTTATAGATGTTTAATGGAAAATTTATAGATGTTTAATGGATTGTTTATAGATGTTTGATGGAAATGTTATAGATGTTTAATGGATGTTTAATAGATGTTTAATGGATGTTTAATGGATACCCTGACACATCAATTCTAAACGGATAGTTCAAGGGAGCAATTATATGTGCTTTCCTCCAATACGTATAATGTGGTAAACCAAAAATGATAAATCATCCTACAGTAGAGGTATAAATCAAAGATGTTGGTTCAAGGATAGACAATCCCATATAATGGTTCTTCCAACAATTATAGAGATGTACCCTCTGGTAAACTAACATAACTATGGAAAATCACCATTTTTAATGGGAAAATCCACTATAAATAGCCATTTTCAATAGCTATGTTAAATTACCAGAGGGTACCCTCCCATAAAAAGGAAAAAAACCAGGCTTGCTGGGAAATTCCCCGGCGTTATGATATTTGAAACCTCCGTGGCTAGGCCACGGGGATTTCTCAGCCAGCCACGTTTGATGACACCACTATATCTAATTATATAATATTATATACATCCCCATAAAAATCCATCATCTTTGTCAGTAAAATTCTTATTTCTGTTGATTACAGTACTATGAAGTCACCATAAAATCACTATAGAAATCATCTTAGAAAATCCGAATTGTGTCCCATGTTTCATGAACAGAATCACAAAAAAATACCATCTTTGCTGGTGAAACAAACCCCTGAGTTTTTTGCTGCTGAAACCCATCAGCCGAGCCATGGCTCCAGGGCTCACCTCAACGATCATCTCCCAACGTCGTTCCATGTCCATCTTGGAGGCCTCCGTGCTGGGTCACCTTGAAAAATCCCATGGATGTTTCACCTTGAAAAATGCTGGGATTTATCCAGGTAAAACGGTGATGTTTCCAAGAAGAATTTTCCATTTTTTATCCCAACTTTTGGTGCTGCCCGAAGTTCGGAACGGGCCCGGCCCCCAAAACAGGATAGACTTCTGTTGAAAAAACTGTTGTATCTAATTGTGATGGATGGATATGTCTAGTCAGATAGTCTGGGATTGAGAAGGTGGAAATCAAATTCTATCTGCTGGGCCCATGGAGTGAAGTTCAGATACTCCAAGAAAAGTTATGAAATACTCCATCAAAAACTAATTATTCGAAAGATATAGAAGAAAACATCTTAGAGGAACAATGGCTAAGTATATAATTGTATATATATACCTTAAAACCATGGTGGAGTATTTCAGTATATACATCTTATAACACAATGGTTACTTAGTTTTTTCATGGTTCAGTATATCGTTATAGAACCATTGTGGTGGAAAAAAACACCATTGTGTTATAAGATGTATATTATAATTATATACCTAAAAACACCATTGTGTTATAATTATATACCTTAAGACCATCTTGGATTAACACCTTCCAAATTGGAGAACCCATGAGCCGCCGTTTTTTAGCGTCCCATGGATGCTGCTGCGGGATTCCCCCAGTTTTGCTTTCCACGTGATGGAACGGGTGATGGAACCGCGAAAATCTTCCATTGATAGAACTGCAAACATCATTCAATCTGTGATAAAAATAACATCTGTGAAAAAAACACAAGAGTTGGAACCATGATTTACCATCATGGAAAAATCATCAACCAAAAAAAATAACGATTCAAACATATTGAAACATGGAGCCATGCCCAAGTCATCCTAACATTTTGGAGGGGTTCGAGTACACATTCCCAGTCCACCAATGACTTGGAAGCCCAAGGATGCACCAAGCAGAGAGTTCGCTGATCACCGGTTGGTTCTTGAGTTGTGGGGGGCTGCCCCTCCCAAATATATAGGTGTGACTGAAAAAGGGGTATGTGTATATATATATATTACTCTGTGTGTATGTATATGTATATGTATATGTATATGTATATGCATATGTATATGTATATGTATATGCATATGTATATGTATATGTATATGCATATGTATATGTATATGCATATGTATATGTATATGCATATGTATATGTATGTATATATCCCCAACATGTCATTGTACAATAGGAAAACTGATGATCAACACGGTTGTTCCCAAGACCCCAGAGACAAAGTGGGAAAAACTGCAGATAAAGAGGCAAAATGACTAGTTTCCATTTCTGGATACCATCTACCTATGACGGATTGGAGCAATCCTGAAAAAAATGCCGTAAAGTTTGAAACCACTTATATACACGTTATGATATTATCTGGTTGGTGGTTTCAACCCCTCTAAAAAAATATGAGTTCGTCAGTTGGGATTATGAAATTCCCAACTGTTTCTGGAAGGTCATAATCCATTCCATGGTTCCAAACCACCAAACCACCAACCAAATACATACAATGTGGGGCCCCCAAGATAGCTAAGTTGGTCTATAACTACAATAACTAGGGTTTGTGGTACTCATAACCATAGTTAGATGGGGCTATAAACCAACTTATAACTAGGGGGCCCCACATTGTATATATATATTATCAACCGGCGAGTAAACTGGGCCCAAGGCCCACCCGAGATTTTCACAACGAACATCGCGGCCTCTTCCGCCAGCTGCGCCTGCGGCGACCCCCTTCCGGATGGTCACGATCGACTGGGGATAGTAGCTATCTACATGTAGCAATAATATATCGTTTTATATATGTAGTATATATAGTAACTATCTACTGGATATGTATATGTATACAATATATATATATATAGAGAGAGAGAGAGAGTTATATGTATATGGTTATATGGATATAGCAACCTCAAAAACAGGTTTTTAAAGCACAGCGACACGAATCCAGTCCGAAAATCCAATCCCATCTAATAGAATTTGGTAAAAAATCTACTAAGATTGGACTGGACTAAATCCAAAGTTTACCAACTAAAATCAAGGTATCCATTGGAATTCCATTTCAAGATATCCACTAAAAATCCACTAAACATCCACTAAAGGAATTTCCATTGAAATGGAAAATCTTCGAATCGACGACCAAGTAACCACTCAACAAAAAGCTCTCGTGACGGTAGAACTTAAGAAGCCTCTATCTTTTGGATACATTTATGATACATTTGCAAGCAGTCCAAATCCATGATCTCTACTAACATCCCAATACATCCAATTTCTATCAATTCGTATGGTCTTATTCTTAAATCGAAATCATATAGAGATATATTAGATAATCATGGATCCCATAATTCCCATATATTCCATATATCCCATATATTCCATAAAGACATCATGTTTAGGAATTGAGTGAAATTTTCATGTCACCCACCTGCTGCTGCTGCTCCAAGCGCTCTTCCAGCTGCAGATTTTTGGCCTGGAGAGTTTCAGGGGCTTATGGATGTTGGAATCATACTGAAAAATGGTGAAAATGCTGGAAAATAGTGATAAAAAATGATGAACACAGCTAGTGTAGTGATTGAAATCATCCATATCATCCTGAGGAAAATGGTGGAAAATAGTGCTGATGAATTTTCTGAAAATAGCTATTCTAGTGGTGAAAAAAGGTGAACATCACTTTTAATATCTTTTAATTGCAATTGGTCGATGGAAGAAAAAAAACGGCTCTGTCGGGATATAACTAAATATATAACCAATAATATGGGGATACCCAGAATTATAATTCTACACAGTGGGCCCCCCAATGGCAGGTTTGAAGATGGGTGAAATGATTGGACCTCCTTGAACAGATAGGTAAATTGATTCATTTCACTATGTGTTGGTTTTATGGCGAATATATCTATGGCCAAGGCGTTTGAACCAACTTACCTATGCTTTTGGGGTCCAGTCTCCAGGGGTTTAACAAGGCCTATCCATTGGGTTTGATGCTTGGTGGTTTATACTGTGATCCCTTGATGTCTTATGCTGGGAGGGGGGTCAACTTCACCCACAGTGCGAACCTCCACATTTCATAGATGCCAACTGTTTTCTAACACGTTCGCATCTCAATGTCTTACTGGTTGTTGGTATACTACCCCTCTGAAAAAATGATGGAGTTCGTCAATGGGAAGGATTATCCCATGTATGAAATGGGCAATAAAAAATGTTTGAAACCACCAACCAGCTTATTATTCATTGTTTCTTCAACAAGAACTGCTTCTTAGTTGCTTCCTGCTTCCAATCAAAGGTCTCCTTTGATGATTGACTTATGGCCGTGAAAGCAGAAGTCGCTCATCTTTTTTCTTTCGGCATCGGATAGCCAAACTGTACAGAAGCCTCCATGTGCCTGCTCTGCATGCTCTGCAACCATGCAAGCTTCTCGAAACGAACACATGGGTATGAGTCGAAATTAAAGCCCTAAGAGAGACCACAAATTTTAGTTGATTTTCAGCATTGACCATCGAACTAGTGCGGTACCCGAAGTTGACCCATACCATCCCATACCCACATGGCAGTGTGTCAAAACCTTGTACCCCTGTAGTTCACATCAAAATAGCTGGGATTTATGGATGTTCATCCCACTAAAAATGGTATTAATAGGTATTGATCCATACCCACATCTTCAGCAAACTTTGGAATGCTGAACGCTTCGAACGTGCGAAACGTCGGTAAGAGTCTTACCTCGCTCTGAAAACTCAGGAAGAGAAACACCGCATTGGACTAGATGGCATGTCCAAAAATAGTGGATCCCCCAATTTATACAAGGTGGTGCCCCCGTTCGATAGCTAAGTTGGTTTATAACTCCAATAACTATGGTTTATAGGTGATATATCGAACTAGTTAATGGGGTTTATAAACCAATTTATAACGTTTGGGGGCACCACCTTGTAGCAATCAAATCATACGAAATCAACAATCTTCACCATGCAAAAAAACTAGGAGGAGTACCCCATTTTTGTAGCCCAGCAAATGTCGATGTTTTCAGCGCAGTTTGCACAGCGCAACATCCACTTTGCTGCAAATTTCAGGCCTTTCCCCGATAGGATGTCCATCGAAGTTCCGACGACTTTACCAAAAACCATGTTACCAAACCAAAACCTAGGATGAAATTTAAGGTTGCCCTCTGGCAATTTAACATAGCCATGGAAGCCATGGCCCATAGAAATAGATGATTTTCCCAGCGAACGAAACCTCCATTGATGGTTGGGATTTTCAAGTTCCCTATGTTAAATAACCAGATGGTTCCATGGCTATGTTAAATAACACCCCATTATTTCAGGGATTTTCCATGGCGATGTGAAATACCACCCCCATTTTTTCCCAAAAAAAGATGCCCATGAAAATTCATCCAATAATCATGGATTAATCACCATTAAACCACCATTTTCCTCAGTTCGCCAGTGCTTTCAAGGCTTCCGGCACCATCCGCCCGGCCATCCGCCGGCATTCGATGGCCTCCGGCAGCACGGCGGAGCTCAGGTTGCGCACCTTCGTCCAGCCTTCGATGCCGTTCTCCTTCCGTACCAGGACGAAGTCTCCTTCATCGCCTAAAGGGGAAAAAGATGGGTGATATATGAAGGATATACATATATATATATATATACATATATCAGGTGTGAATCAGGAAATCAGGTGTAAATCAGGATATTTACGAAAATTTGGGGTAAACCAGATATAAATAGATATTTAATCCTGAAACTCCATAGATTGCTGATGGGAAAATCTTTAGAACCATGATTCTTAGCCCAAGATGTAGGGAAGTCCTAGGAAAAACCAGCTGGGTTGGACATTTTGTACCAAGCAGGAAAATCAAAGATGGAAATAAAGTGCAAAAAATGGTTGGGGTCACATTCGCCCCTACCCCAGGGGTCACATTCGCCCCTACCCCAAAAGGGGTCAAATTCGCCCCTACCCCACTATCCTTCCCATTGACTGTGTCACTCAACCTTTTAGGGTAAAACCTGGGGACACGGGACTTTTAGGGGGGGCCTAGGGAACATTTAGGAGGGACTTGGGGACGTAGCTTAAGTCACTTCCCTCACTATTGAATATGACATTCAACCTTTTAGGGTAAGACCTGGGGACACGGGATGTTGTGTCGAATTGGATGTTACAACGTAGCATCCACAGCGTCTTGGAGGTGCTTGAAAGCGATTTTTCAACATAACACGTGAAAATGACTCTCTGAGGTGGAAAAGATCATTTCGAGGCTCTAAAACTATTGCGCCTGCCACACAAAAGCAGGGGTCACATTCGCCCCTACCCTAGGGTCACATTCGCCCCTACCCCCAACTGAGGTAGGGGCAAATGCGACCCCCATCAAGTTGACTTCACAGAGGTGAAACAAGACTAAAAACTCAGCCATTTTTTCCGCGTCGACACAGGTATCCTCAGTGTGGCTTGTCACCAAAAGAATGGATATGCAGCAACTATGATTACCCTACTTAGATGTTGCCACAATTAGCCAAGTGGTAAGCGGACCCCTCCAGAATCGATCCAGTCACCGCGAATTCTGGAATTCTGGAAAACACCTAAATAGTGGCGGTGTATATATGTGCATTGATTAGGATTGATTCGCCGTGTCCATATCATGTTGCAAATTGGAAATAACAGGGCTAGTTATTCAACATATCCCATGATATCCTCACAAATATCCCAGGAAATCCCTTTTTTATGGGTAAGTCCTCTTCAGAAAATCCTAGATGCTCGATTTTCCCAACAAAAACCTCCATTTCGTTTGTGGATGGCCAACTATATGTTCCATGACGTTCCCATTACTATCCCATTATAATCCGATTTAATAGTATTTATGAATAATCCCATATGAAATCCCGTTAAAACCCTGATGTATTGTTTCCTATATTTTCCCCATTCAAATTAAATCCCTTTTGAATTTCCCCATTCAAAGTATCAATCATCCCATTAGATCAGATTTTCCCATTCATTTCCGTCAAAAAACGCCCATTGCCATCCCTAAAACCTCATGTTTTTTCCATGAACTTCCCTATGAATTTCCGATTTTCCCCCATGAATTTCCCCCATGGTCATCCTGCCACCATCCGCACCTTCGCTGGCTTGGGGACTGCTGCACAGCTCAATAACTTCACCCGGATGAATCTCGCCACCCTCGACCCACAAGTCCCGAACGCCGGGCGTCTGCCAGAGCTTGCGACCTGCCGAGCGTCGTTTTTGGTGGGAAAAAATGTGGGGAGATTTCCATTAAAAAAAAAAAACATGATGTGTAGAGATTGCGTATGGTTTTTTGTAAATGATAATTTTGGGAGTTGTATGGTGGTTCTAATGTGGGTCTTAATATCTTTAATGACAAAAGAATGGGACATAACTCCCACAATTTGCTCAGGGAGATGATGACAAGTGGGGAACTAATGGGAGAGATGTTGGGTAGCACATCCTTGGCACGTGCCAGCCATCATTTTGTGGCCTCATTCCCTGTTTTTGGTGACTAAACCCCTCCTTATTGATGGTTCTATCTTTTTAAATCTGTTTAAAACCCGATGTTTGAATGCTACAGGATTTTGGAAGCATGAAGTACCACAGGATGGTGTCCCGTAGTTAGCTAAGTTGGTAAACACCACCCCAACAACAAGTGGTGTATAGTAGAATCATGTAGAATCTATTCTTTAAGGGGAATCTAAACCTTTAAACCAACAAACACAACGTTTGGGGGCACCGTCATTTATCAATCTAATCCTCATCTCTATGATGTTTGAACATGGTTGAATTCCCAGTAGGATTTGCTTAAAGAATCCAAGAAAACGATTCCCTAAGTGGATGTTCTTCATCTTTTCCCGTCGGAGTTTCGGAAATTTTCGTCGGATTTTCCCCATCGTCTTCCGTCCGCTGCCGGGATCTTAGGCGCCCCTGCCGTGTGTCCCTTTCAGGGCCAATCGTCCTTGGCCCTTCGCGAGGATCGCGCCCAAGTCGGTCGTCGCTGTCTTGGCTCCGCTCCTGGGATGCCTGACCTTCATGGAGATGGACAAAGAGTTCACCTTGAAGAAAAAAAGGGAATTTGACCATGAAAAATATTGTACTTGAGGTTAATGGTACTGTAATTTTCATGATTTTACTGGGGATTTTCTATGAGACATCATGAAAAACATGGTCGTTGAGGTTTTTGATGGTATTGTTTAATGATTTTACTGGGGACTTTTCTAGATATGGTGATACAAAACCTTTACAAAACGGCGATTTGGCAGGAGATCAATGGGTGTTTGCTAATGGAATATCTATTGATTTGACTTCAAGGGAGGTCTTTTTGCTTCCAGGTGCTGTTAGGATGGTGTGGGTTTGTCTAAGAGGGTCTGCTTTATCATATGTTTTTCCCCATCAAAAGTGCATCAATTCAGGTATAAGCAAACCAAATCACACATCTTTGCTGATATAAATCCCACATGACATCTTTTGATGGTTTATTACATCCCACATTTCTTGATTCATGCCCAGAAAAACCGCGTCCTGGGACCAGCAGCATCGCTTTCGGCGGGATCCTGCAACGCCAAGGGAAAATCATGGTCCATCATGTTTTCAAAACAGTGACCATGGTGACCAGATATAGTACCATATATATATATGATATATATATATATATATGTATGATATATATATATATGTGATATATATATATGATATATATATATATATGATATATATATATATGATATATATATATATATATGATATATATATATATAATATATATATCATATATATATATATTGTCAAACTGACAAAGGTAGCTGTCCAACCTCCTCCCGCCCAGCCCTGCTGAGCAACTGCAAACGCTGCTGCGTCTTTTCCCCGTACCACGCCACTCAGATCTGCACCTAACCAATGTGATGTCCACAAGGTTCTCCGCTAAGCGTCACTGATAGCGCCTATTGCTCAAGCGCAAAAACCCTCCCACCTTCACGCAGGCATTGAGCCTACCCCCGGCTGCAGTGCATGGTGGAATGGGTGACCCTGGCAGGCACATGTGAATAGGCAGTGGTTTCACAGTCGTACTATTCTATTTTTATTCACCATGTGCTCCAAGAACTTTGGAAAAACTTCGTCGCCAAGCTTCAAGGTGGTTTCTAGGCAACCACAAGCACATGAAAAAACCCCTTTGTCTGATTCTCTTGGATCTGATGTTCAGGCAAATTTTCCTTCGCTTCAAATCACTATGGAAAACCCCTTTTCTTATTTAATTAATCTTTGCAAACTGAGATTGACTCATAGACGACTTGGCTTTTCCATGAGTTACTGCACTGCTTTCGGAGAGTGGGGCTTGCGACTGAAGCCACTGTAGACGCGATCTCGAATCCGATCTGGCCTTGAGAATTTCTTGTTCATCATGTAAACTGTAGAATCCCTTGTGAAGACAAGTTCTTAATATGGTATTGTCCATAACTTTTGTAAGAGAATCTGCAATTTGGGCTCCTGACGGCACCCATCGGATTTTGATCCCATTTTGGAGATGCTCCTTGATGAGCTTTGCTTGCAGCATTGTTCTGAATTCCGTACACGCTGGTGGCGCTGTGCGGTTGATCAGGTCATACAATGACTTACAATCTGTGGTGATAATGGCTTGTTGTTCTGAAGGCAACTGCTTGATCAACTCTTCTACGGATTCAGGCATCGGAACGTGAGGTTCTTCCTCCGGATGCAAAGCTGAGAACGCTGGTGGCAGCTGAAGAAGTGTCTCATCAGCTTGCTTCCATCTGCATCGGTGATCAATGACCCAGGCCCACATCAGTCGTATCCAGGATAAAACATCAACTGCACCAGCTAAAGCCATGGCCTCTGCCGACAACGTGCTGACGGCAACCTTTTGTATTTTCTTGGAGTGCCATATTATTGGGTTAATAACGCTTTGGGCATTATCTCCAATTTTCTTGTGGGCGGCCATAATGATCATCCCTTGATGGGAGCTTGGATTCTTTTCGGATGCAAAAGAGGCATCTGAGAAAGCTACATACCGGAGATCTTTGAGGGGAATCGGATGTATGTGTATGGCAGTGGATGCATGTTGTTTGGCTTCATGAAGTGTTCTATTGGCTTCAATGAGAGTGGAAACTTTGGCAGTATTAATCCGGCTTTGCAACCATCCCAGACGTGAGCACAAATCAGGACGTGTGTTTACAGCAGCATACTGTAAACTTCCAATCAGTGCTCGGAGCTCCTGTCGCTCTTGTTCTGAAACTACATCTTCAGACTGAGAACGGCGGTCTCGAGAGAGAGTGATTGCAGCGATGTCCTTCACATACTGTGTTTGGTTGACTTCGATGCTGTAATCTGGTTTCTGTTGGATCTTCAGGCCTGTGAACGTGAATTCAGTCTTTTTCTTTGATCCGAACGGATATTTCTGCTCCAACTGGTTCAGCTTCTGTTGAAACAATTGTGATCCACAACATAATCCATCATCCACATGGATACCTAAGATTCCTATGGTGGCATGCGTGGACGGATCAGGAAGGGTAAACAAACAGGGGTCAAACGGACTCTGAATGAAACCTAACTGACACAAGGCCCCTTGCAGCTCTTTGAACCAAAGGTATGGTGCATCCACTCGCCCATAGGCGCCTTTCAACAACTGGACAATTTCATGTTGTTTCAACTTGAGCCTCTGACGCATTTCTTCCGGAGGTTCCATTCCCAACATTCGATTATCCTGTTCACTACCTCTCAAAAACGCAGTCTTGATGTCAAAGCTTTGAATCTCCCAGGCGTTGCTGGCTGCCAACTGTAGAATCATGGTGCGTGACAATTTGTTCATTGTCGGGGAGTCTCTCGGAATGGCATCCACTTGAGGGTCCTCAAAACCAAGTACAACTAATCTGGCTTTTGGGGTATACTTCTTGGACACATTGGTGGATGAGGCTTCATCTACTTCTTTCCATGTCAGGATCCATCTGCAACGCATGACATTTTCCCGGGGAATCTTATTTCGAGTGATCTTAGCAATTGTTTCAGTGGTGATCCAACTATTGATTTCTTTCAATTTGGCTTGCTGGAACTTTTCACGATCCTCCGGTGTCAAGTTGGTCAACTTGACCTCACTGCGCTGTCTCTTTGCCGCTGAGACCAGGAAGGCCATTTCTTGAGGTTTTGTTTCTTCTCTCCATTTGTGGATGTCATAGTTACTGATGTTCACCTCAAATTTCCATCCTTGGTCTTCAGTTACATGAAATGCCCTCTCGGCTTCGGCAAACAAGTCATCATCGGCATCAGGTACCGGTACTTCGACTGGTACGTTGGGATCTGGGATCATAACCCCTGGCATTTGTGCATTGGGATCATTTGGATTCGGTTCTTGGTCAGGTTGGTCTGAGTTGATGGAAATTACGGATTGGTTAGAAGGACTGGGTCTGGGCAAATTATTTTGGGAGTTATGATCTGGGCTAGGGGCACTTCCGGAGGGGATCTCCGGCGTAGTGGCGTCAGTCGGAATTTCAGCGTGGACATCGGTCAGGTTGTGGTATTGAGTGCCTCCATGTGGTGGTAAGATTGATTGAAAATTATTGCTTGGTGTATGAGGGGAGGTAAATGGACATGATTTTGAATTGTCAGTGTGCTGTACCTTCCATTCTTCAACCGCGGACATTGGTCTGAGGTGTTCTGGGGCTACTCGAAACAACTTTTGTCCCATAGTCACCCATACAATTTGAGCTCCTTCTTGGATAATAACCCTGAGAGGTCCTACCCATGTTCCATTGGCTTCACCCTTTTTCTTCCACATCATCACATGATCCCCTTGCATGAAACTGCCTCGGAACGGCCTGCTGCGTTGAACCAACGCTCTTCTGATCACTTGGCTGTTGTCAGTCTCCGAGAATGCTTTTCGGGCACGTTCACGAACGGCCAGTTCAGCTCGGAATCTCAATCCATCGGGTGTGGGATTGCTGGCTGTGAGGTGCGAGGCTGAGCTCTCATCGGAGGAGACTGATCCTGGAACCTTTGAGGCTTTCCCAAACACCAACATTTCAGGGGAATAACCTCGATGTCTACTCCATTGATTTTTGGTGTGCATGGCCATAGACACTGCAACCTCAAGGCTAGCATGGTCTCCAATCGCTTCTTCGGTATCCATCTTTGACAGAATGCTTTGGAGGATGGCACCATGACGTTCTATCCTAGAATTTTGCCAGTGAGCATCAGTGGCAATGGTTCGGTGTCGGATACCATGTTTCTGAAGAAACCCCATGAACTCCTCCGAATTGAACTCTGTACCGGCATCCATGCACAACAAATTTGGCGGCCCTGCCCATTGCATCCATCCTCGATTCAAGGCCAGGATGGCCTGTTCGGCACTGTGAGCTGGAGTGACAACGGCGGTATGATACAAAGTACTTTGATCTAACATGTGATAGATATGAAACTGAGTACCATTTCTGTTAGTCCATGTTACCCCATCTATGGAAACAATATCCCCAAAGTCACTTTCTTCATGGATGGCGCTGGGACGAGAGATGGCTGGAACGGCATTTTCCACACATGTTGAACACTTCAAGTCGCTGATCGCACGCACCATCTCATCAGGACAACCAAGTTGCTTGCAAAAGATAGCCAACTTCTGGTTACCAGGGTGACCTAGATTCCTGTGAACTTTCAGCAACCATGCTTGAGTCTCCGGTTTCAAAGCAACAAACTTGGGACCATGTTTCTGTGAGGCCAAGTCCACTACCGTTCGGTCAGGGTTATTCATGGCTTCTGGGTTCTCTATCGGCTCCTCAGCATGGTCTTGTCGTGCACGCTTTGCTGCTGGCAATTCAGCTTCGGGAACATCATGAGCTTGTGGCATGTCGGCAGAAGACGGAGTCTGAGAAGCCCGCAGCTCGATCCCCTTTTGGTCAGGCAGTTTGGCAGCAGCAAAAATGGTCAGGCTGACTCTTGCAGGAACCCCTTTCCGTCTCAACCCCTTGAAGGTTAACCTCTCCCATGCTTCCCATTCTTCATCAACATCTAGGTCTTCATGACGACGACGGATACATATCCTCTTTCTGAGAGGAGCTACCCCTTTTGGTATGCTTTTGGTGGGTCCTACATATCTATCTGTTCCGCGGCAAAGAACCAGGTGAACAACACGATGATTGGGACACATTTGCTGCACCTTCTCAAACAGACTGCCATTTTCTAGCACTAAGGGACCGACACGAGGAGCGGTTTCATCAGTCATTTCCATGACTGTCTGCCAATTGACACTGGCGAAACGCAGGGCAATGTCCGCAGGGCTCAGTTTGGACCGAAGTCTTCTCTTTTTGGTTGGGTGTTCCGAAACTTCTTCATGAGGTGGTTCAGCCCTGATAGCATATATGGGATGCTCTTTGTGTATGCTCTGTAGCAGAACTTTTGCAACCTGTCGGGCAAACTTTGTGGGATACCATTCCGTAAAGGTTGATAATGCCACTCTTTGGCCCTTAAAAGTGGTGCTACCTGCAATTTGTCGATGTTCATGTTCTTGAGAACACATGCGACCATGGATGGCGAGGAACAGAGCCTGGGACGTCGTGAGAACTCGCAATCGCTTTCGGATGGGCAAGTGTGTTTCTGGATCAGTCAAATCTCCCACCTTGCATAAGTCAAAACAGCATTCTTGGGTACCAGCCTGAATTTCCTGCAAACTGGGCTGATTCAGCATGTGGGACCCATCTGGTTGTTCCAGATGAAAATGCTTCTGGCGGCCAGACTGATACTGATACAGCACCACTGCTAAGGCAATTTGCCAAAGGCTGGCTCGGCGTTTTTCCATCCCTTCGGCAAGACCCTGTAACGACTTTCCCATGTTAAACTGAGACCATTTTCCCCAAGGACCACATTCGGGACTGTACCAGACATGCTCAGGTTTATACAAAACCAACCATTCAAACAGCTTTGCACGGCCGGAAACAGTGTTCAAATCGCCTTCAGCCAATCCAAAACGGCGAGCACGACCACCAAGCAAATCAGCCTGTTTCACTAGCTCACTTTCGGAAGAACACATGATTTCCAGCACATCAAGCTTTGGCGTTTGAATCTGATACCTCTTACCCTGGAGTTTTCTGGCGACTGCATGGAACTCAGCTTGAAATTGCTTTGTGAACCGTTGACATGTGCGATGAAAACTGTGTTGAATGACTTCCGGCTGGAAATCATAGTCCATATCAACCTGGGCATTCAGAAGCTGTTGTTCACAAAAGGCTAGATCATTCAAAATTTGAGCTTCGGCGTCGGTCAGAAAGCTCAGTTCTCGGTCTTCACAGAGGAGCGACGGAGATGGTCCAGCACTTCCTGCATCATCATTTCGACCTGACCCATGCGATGTGCCAAGTTCTGGTTCTCCTGGCGCAGCATTCCCATGTCCTCCACCAGTTCGGCTGGGTGGCACGAGATCATGTTCATTGGTTCTGGGTCTTGGATCTCGGTCCACACATCGAATGGGACTGTCGCTGGCTCTGACGGAGTCTTGGTGCCCTCTTTGGCATTCTTTGTCTCCGGAATCCGACCTTGCTTCATTCGAAGGGACACGTACCGGACGTACATCAGGTGCTCCGGCTTGTCGCTCTTCTCGAACCTGGTGAGGATGAATTCTGTCCATCGATCGTCCAAGAAGGCATCCTTGAACATCATTCCCTTCTTGGCTTCCCCAAAGGCAATCTTCTCGGTCTCGAGCTCCTCCAATGTCATGGTTTGCAAGGCATCCCGATTGGCTGTCTGGTTGGCACTCTTGCAGGCTTTGTTGAACGCCTTGAACTGTGAGGCCAAGCTGGACATGGCTCTTGCAGGACGGGACCCGGTCACAAGGCTCACTACTGCTTAGATCCGATTTCTCTCGATCGCTTTGTACATCTTGTGCATGGTCATGTGTGGCAATGGACAACCTTATGGCACCTGGGATACCTTTGGACATGACAAGACATGATGGCTGAGAATTCTTCCTCTCACGTTGGTTTCCTAGATGAACACCACGACATTGCGTCTCAGCAGCATGGTTTTGGAACTCATCGGAACCAACGGACGTTGTCAGGCATGCAGTAGCTGTTGGCTCCCACAGTTGATTGACGTCCATCAGAAACAAATTCTTGGCAGTGCGTTCTAACATCAGCTGTTTCTTCAACATCTTGCTCCATAGGGTGCCAGCTTCGGTATCGATCACCGCACGAATTTGATTCAAGAACGTACTTGAAAGCAAAAAAGGTGTGGGCCCAGGGACGACAGCAATCCTAAACCATTGATCATGCAGTGGAAACAAGAGTGCTTGTTTGCTGGTCAACGTTTGATGATTACCAAAACGAAACACCAAGTGACATGGTTCCCTACGAACCTGCCGTCGAATTTCTTTGGGCAAACCTTCAAGCAATTCCACCACCTGTTTACTGCCAATCACAGTCTGTGAAGCACCCAAATCAACAACTCCGGAAGTGCCTGAGGATGCAAAATGGACATCACAAATGCTCGGATGTTCAGTTTTCAATGGCGCTTTCGGACTGGCAGTGGGATGGTTGGGACAACTACCTTTGGACGGGCTCGGATTCTGCACTGTTCGGATCATTGGGCTACGGCTCAGAGACATCCTTTTCCTGAGAGAGTCACGAAAGGCTTTGGTCAGGCTGGTCGTGTCTATCCCCGTATTCTTACCCCTCTTAACCCATCTATTTTGGTATTGTTCCCAATGACTTACCCCAAAGGCTACTTCAACCCCATTATCATGCTGAGAGTCCGGAATAGGCAGCACGGGAATCTCCATCCAGGCAGGTAGGTCATCGGTGATGACAACCGAGGTAGGGATGCTGGTGCTGGCTGTTGGTGAGCTACCCGGAGGACCACTGCTTCGTTTTGGGCACTCAGATTTCCAATGCCCCTTCTTGCCGCAGAGGCGGCAATTCGAATTTGCGATCTTCTGTGCCAAAGTCATGCGTCCTCCTTTGTGACCACCTTTGGAACCCTTCTTGCCTGAGCTCTTTCCAAACTTCTTCACTGGCCAAAACCCTCGGAATTTCACTCGCTCTGTCAGACGCCTTCTGGCATCTTGATACGATGAAAAGAAAGCTGCTAATTCTGTGTCATTCTGTACAGCTTCGGTGATGGCGTCCTCAAACTGGAGAATCATGTTGGCATCTTCATCATGTTCACTTGCTAGAGTTGCAATTGTGTCTTCATCCAACATCTCATCACTAGTCCAGAAAACTTCTTCCTCATGTTCTTCATCTCCTATCTCATCAGTAGCAAAAGCCATGTGATCATAGGTTTTCTGAGACTTGTCACGTTTCCCTCCAGTGTATTCCTGAAAGAAATTGGAACTCAGCATTCGGATTGCGGCCACCACTTTGGACCATTCCAAAGTCTTGGATGTGCCTTCGGCACCTGATTCTACCAGAACCCTCTTTTTGTCGTCTGCGCTCAAATGACTCCCTCGCAGCAACACATAGGCCATGAGTTGTTCCAGACTGAGAGACTTGGCTAAAAGTTCCGACCATACCACATCAACTCGAGCTATGTAGGAATCCCCTGACTCATCCGCCTTTTGTTGGCACCGAAACAACGCCTTCTCAGCCAGTTCATACCTGTTTTCCAAAGGTACCTGACCCCAGGTACCTCCCACTAGCTCCACCAGACGTCGAATCCCTTTCGGGTCATTGATGAGGATCTCCTTCTGCTTGAGTTGAAGCTTCTGGAAAGCTGATCCTTTGGTGTTGAGGATCAGCCTCGTCGCCAGCTCCACAATCTTGCTTTCAGGCCAGGCCGCTAAGAGTAGTTCCACCTTGTTGGACCATGTGGTCACGTCATCAACTGCCGGGTCAAACGTCGGGACTAAGGTCGCCAGCTGATGAGACACTCCTCCGCCTGATCCTTCTGATCCTGCACTTTCAATTGAGCTCATGCCCAATGATTTCCACTTTGGAGCCTGGCCCTGTTGAGCGCCAGGGCTCCGCTACCAATGTCAAACTGACAAAGGTAGCTGTCCAACCTCCTCCCGCCCAGCCCTGCTGAGCAACTGCAAACGCTGCTGCGTCTTTTCCCCGTACCACGCCACTCAGATCTGCACCTAACCAATGTGATGTCCACAAGGTTCTCCGCTAAGCGTCACTGATAGCGCCTATTGCTCAAGCGCAAAAACCCTCCCACCTTCACGCAGGCATTGAGCCTACCCCCGGCTGCAGTGCATGGTGGAATGGGTGACCCTGGCAGGCACATGTGAATAGGCAGTGGTTTCACAATATATATATATATATATATATCATATATATATATATCATATATATATATTATATATATATATATATCATATATATATCATATATATATATATGTATGTATGTATATATACATTTCGAAACAGTGACCATGGTGACCATATCTGGTTGGTGGTATACCTACCCCTCTGAAAAATATAAAAGTCAAATGGGATGATTATTTTCAACTGAATAGAAAGATATAACATGTTCCAAACCACCAACCAGTACACAGTATCATGACCCCTCCAGGCAGAGTTTCGGCCTTGTCAGGATCCCAGAGTGTAAGCTTCTGGGAGTCGTGGTCATACCACAAGTAGTGCGTGCTGCAGTACTCCTTGTGCGGTCGGCGTCCGAAATGCTGGAGAACTTCCCAGATCCCTTCTCCTTGGATCAGCGAGGTGAACACCTAAACGCCTAAGCTTTTGATGGGATATATATATATTTTATTACTATATTATATGTATTATATATATATTATATATATATATATATTATATATTATATATATGATATTATATATATATTATATAGCTGTGTATTTAATGGGATATAGCTAACCAGCTATCAGCTATATCCAATTTTTTGTGTGTGTCCGAAAATGGAAATTCTGCAATGAGCTAAAAAAGTTACTGTACCTAGTTCTGTGCTCTGCTAAATCCATCCAGGCTCTGTGCGAGACCATGATCACACTTTCTTCGCCATGTGCACTTGCGAGTTCTTGAAGTGATTGAACAAAGCCCCTGTCAGGCTTGGAGCGACCCAAAACCACCACCCAAACACCCAAACACCAAAACTGAAGTCCGTCACGGAAATTTCCACTTTTGTGGGCCGAGCAAAACACCTCTGAACTGTGGCAAAATTGAGATGGAAGTGGACATTTATTTGCATAGAAAATCTACTGACACAACTAAGACTTACAAAATCGATTGATGAGTTTCAATGCGTCCCAAAAGACACGCACCAAAAATGGTGACCACTGTCCCTGTTTAAGATGAAAATTGATATTTGAGAAAATGATGGGATAGTAGTTGAGTCATACCCCATCATATAGTAGTTGAGTCCCTGGCATTGCGTTGTTGCTATTTTTGCAGAAAAAATATCTGCCATCCCAAGTATCCAATCCTATCAATCCTATGGAATATTCCCATATTTATAGTATATAGGGGTCCTCAAAAGATAAAACAAAACAGGATGTCATAGATGATAGTTACCTCACAACTCCGAGCTTTCCAGCTTGTCGGATACTGGATTACCACCAGTGACACCAGTGACAACACCATGAAAAATAGCGGGTAAACCCCTCCAACTCGTTTCGTAGATCCTCCAAAAATCCCATCAAACTCAGGGGGAGCCGATTTTCTGCTGCGGCTTCTGTGGGATTGTTGCCCGAATGAGCCTTTGTGCTTTGTAACTATAGTAACTAGGGTATGTCAACATCAAAGCCACCGACCAATATCATCAAAATATTATATATGTATATATATATATATTAAAATCTCCAATTCATTAAAATCTCCATTAAACTCTCCATTTTGAATGGTTAAATATGGTTAAATACTAAAATCCCATTGTTTTCTACCCAATCAAAACCTAGTTTTTATCCCTGTTCATATCCGAGAAAATCCATCTCAAAATCACAGTGGTTGATGGCTAACTCACCATCTCTTGCAATATTTCTTAGTCAATCCCCCAAAGAAAATCAGCGAAATTACATGAAATTACGAGTTTACTAATTCAATTCCAAGTCTATTTCCCAAAGAAGCCATATCATGATGTTGGATTTCAAAATTTTCAAATCCAATCTGATTCCATCCTAAAATGCAGATGCCCCAGTCGTCACCATGGGTTAACCTATACGAGTCGTCATGGTCATGACGACTGGATGATTTGGGGTACGGCTTTTTCCGGAGACCCAAGATACCCGGCCTGGCTATGTCAACAGTTTGCGAACTGGAAAATCCACCCACCTCAAAAAACAGGTAAATCAACATAAATCAAGCTGGGCCATTTTCCATTATGCAACAGTTTACCAGAGGGTAATTATGGATTAATCACCATTAAATCACCATTTTCCATCATTTTCCTATGGTTTTCCTATGGTTCTCCTATGGTTTTCCTTCCGCAGTCACCATTTTGGCCGCCGCCTCTCCGAGCGATTTCGCTGGTTCACCTCCTTCGCATCTTGCAGCGGTGGCCAGGAACAGGCCACGCCCCGCATCGTCGCCTCCGTGGGTGGGCCCCAGTACTTGGACGCCACGCCTGGCAGCGCCGAAAATGGGAAGGTCATGGGAAAAATGTGGGAAAAACATGGGAAAACCATGGGAAAATGGTGATTTAATGGTGGTTCAATGGGATTAAATGGTGGTTCAATCGTGCTTGAATGGTGATTTAATGGTGCCTCCCAGTTATGTCTGTTGGTTGAGTTTCACCCCAGGAATACTAGTTCGTTATTATATCTACCATAAATATCTACCATAAACCAGAGTTAATTCAGCCACAAACATGTTTGGCAACTGAACCCGAGCTCGACTGGGGGCCCCATCCTGCAGGAAAATGATGGAAAAATGTGGTAGAATGCTGGGAAAAAGTGAAATTTGACTTCTAAATTTAAAGAATTACCAAAATGTTGAGAAAGGATGTGGAAACTTGGCAAAAAGTGAAGATTTGACTTGTATTTTTTAAAGAATTACCCAGAAATTGTTTTGTCAAAAAGGATGTAAAACTAGGGAGAAAAAAAAGTGCAGATTTGAGCTCTAAGTATGGTCAAGGTAGGTTCATGTTAGGATTCTACCGGGAAAAATTATGAACTATCTAAAGTCAATCTGATTTTGTTGGATTTCAGCAACATATATAATTTGGATTAATTTGATGTAAAACCATCACAGCTCTAGAAATATCCAGCACGAAGCCTATGGAACCTACTTCACTAGGCCAACCAACCATTTCTCCTATTGGCTTCTCAGAGCTTCTCCAAATTAAAATGGTACACATCACATTGGCTCGGTCCAAAGTAACTAGTGGAAACCATACTGTTTACCATCCCTTACCACTAAATATGGGGTCTGTACTGATGCCTCCCTTCAGTCGGATCCACATCTTCGCCTGTCATCTTGGCAGCGGCACAGCAGTTCAAGCCATATGCAGGAAGCACTCGGGACACACCAACCTCTTGGGCCATAGCTGCAGCGGTGCCCAGGGTTCTTGCTGTGGGACTGCTGTAGATTGTTGTCACCGGCGGCGCGCCGGAGTTCGCCAACTGCTGCAAGACCTTCTTAGCAGCGAGGCTTGACTGCTTGTACCCTGGCGAAACATCAAAGGGAAAGGTGGAAGCACAAGAGTAAGTGAAAATGTGGCAAATCTTCGGGTACCCGGCAAAGAACATCCGCTGGAGCTGGGTACTGTTTAATATATACCCTCTGGTAATTTAACATAGCTATTGAAAATGACCATTTATGGTGGATTTACCCATTGAAAATGGTGATTTTCCATAGTTATGTAACAGTTTACCAGAGGGTAACTATGAAAATCAGAAAACCATCATGTCCACCAACACCCAACTCACCAGTCCTCTGGCAACAAAGAAAAAAAACCCAGGATCCAGCCTGTTTTGGTCAGAGGTGGATCGTATTGAGTTTCATGCGTTCTCATTTGCTGCCATGCAAACCGATCTGCTTCGTCCAAACGTTCACCATGGCGCACCAGCACGACTAAGGTGGCTTTTCGTCCCATGAGACACCACTGAGGTCTGTCTCAAAATATGCAGCACACGGCTCCCCAAAAAATGGCTGGAAAAGTAGCTGGTTGAAATCGGGACGTGAATGCATCATGATGAGACTTAGCTTTTGAAGGGGAAATTCGCGAATCGTTTTGTGGGGAGCCCAGAATTTTCAGACAAGCCCCTCGTCTTGAGCCCATATGAAAAGAACCGGACATGCAACTGGAAAGAAACATCTCTCCGCGTCTCAAACTACATGCTCTAGACTCTAGTACAATCCCAGTACAAACATGTACAAACTACATCTCTCCAGCCAATCTCTTCTCTCTAAAATTTCAAAAAGTGCCCCCAGTACCGTGACTTGGAGTCCAAGTCAAATGAAACGTATTTGATTTCTTGGCCAGATATCCCCATTTCAGGATGTTCCAGGCCATTTCCCCGTCAACCGACGGGAGGAGACCCAGAAATAACCGTTCATTAGACTGTTGATTCATAGGGACTTGTACTACCTGGGTTAGGGATTGTGAACTAAACCAAATGGGAAACCAACGCAGTATTTCATGAGGTGGGGGTATTTTTCATGGCTCAACTGGGAAAAAAAACATGTCAAATCACGGAGGTCTTGAAACAAACGGAAGGGCTATCAATGTCACAACCCGTAAATCAGAGACGAATACAGGTCATGTGGCAAACCCTGGCTGCAAAAATTAAACAACTCCGGGAATGGTTTATACAAGCCATAAAAATGGTGCTTTGGGGGATGATGGTGTATGATTGGTTTTTTTGGCTAAATTTTCCGTGATTAGATTCTAAGATTGGTGATTTCCAATGTTGCTGAGACATTTCACCCTGTAAGACATCGATCTTTAGGTGGCTTTTTGGCATATCTCACATAGATATCTCTTCTGCTTTGCTGCTTGAACCACCCTTAAAAGAAATAGTGAATCAGAATGAATCAGAATCAAAGATCATCATCCCAAAAATCGGCAGGGCCAATCCATTTTACTAGGTAAATCCATGAAAAAAATCATCTATAAATGGTCCATTTTCCAGTTCGCAAAGTGTAACAGTTCTGGTGACCTCCAGACCAGAGAGTTGCCGCTCCAAGTTGGCCAAGGCCTGCGACGACATGACATGGGGATCTTCACCGGTATCATGGGGCGTGGCAATGTGGGGCGAGATGGGATACCCTCTGGTACACTCCAGTTTTCATGACTGGTTGGTGGTGCAATAACCATCTTGGAAAAAAAAAAAACATCTTTGAAACCACCAACCAGAGTAAATTAACAGTTCGACCCTGCCATTCAGGGTTGGAAGATTTTTGTGAAACAAAAAATTTTGGTGATTTTCAGGGTCGGACTGTGAAAAAAACCAGAGGGATCCAGAGGGTAATTTGTGGAAATAGCTCTTTTGAAGCCATGGCACATAGCGCGAATTCGTTGATTGACCGAAAGCAAAGATTCGGTGATTTTCCACTTCGCAAACTGTGACCGATCAAACCAGAGGGTCTCAGAAGCATCTGGTGATCTCGGTGAGAATGTTTCCATTCAAAAGTGCAGGATGGGGCCCCCAAGATAGCGTTCAGTTGGTTTATAAATGGCTTAAATCTATGGTTTATGGTAGATATAACTATAGATAACTATGGTTAATGGGATTTATAAACCAACTTATATATAACTGGGGGGCACCATCCTGTATGAGTGGGAATATCATGGTGTAAGCAACTATGAATAGCTGTGCTAAATATGCTAAATTCTTCATTGATCGCATTCCCCCTTCATTTTTTCCAAACGAAACCAAATTTGTGAGTTTATGTAGGGGATGACATCACATTGACCATCGAAGCCCTCCCAGCGAAACATGGACCCTGCCATTTTTTGGAGGTTGGAAGAATCATTTCCACTCGAAGATGCTCAACTTTCAGGGTCGAACTGGGATTTTTTTGGGGGGGATGTAACTCATGCTTTTGGTGGTTCCCCAGGTTTCTTCCCAAGAAAGAAACCTTAAAACTAGTCTCTGGTAAACATACCCAAAAAACCATGGGAACTTCCCAGTTTTACCGGTTTTGAGCAACGAACTCAATGGCCATCCACTTCGCAAACTGTCAACGGGTCAACGGGTTAACGGGATGATCCTCCTGGTACCATCCACCGCGATGGTTGGGCCCGGAACCTCTTTGTCACTGAGCCGCATCTTGCGTGCAGTGGCTACCTTGGCAGGTCGGCAAGTCAGCAGGTCTGTTGGACCAGAAACAGTGGCTTTGAGATGGGAAAAATCTCTCCGAAACATGGGCAAAACCATGGTTTTTCTCCCCAGAAAATATGGGGTTCTTGGTGAAGTTTCGATAAATCATCCGAATGACGATGAGAATTGAATCTGAAAGCTGTCCGTACTGCTGAAAAAAGCAATCATATTGTCACTTGCGCATTGCAGTTTGGAGGACTGCAACCCAGGCTTGTTGGGCATTGGAGGACCCAGAAAAATCGGATCCTTTCTTCGGTCAAGTCATCTTTTGCTGTGCATTCTTCACATCCCATCCCGTCAATAAAGGCCACCATGTAGGCTCCAAAACTACCCTCTGGTTATTTAACATAGCCATGGAAAATAGCCCATAGAAATAGATGATGTTCCCAGCTAGAAACCTCCATTTATTTTGAGGATTTTCCATGGCTATGTTAAATAACCAGATGGTAAATCAAATCCAATTGAATTCATAGAAATGTCACCAGGGGGGTTCCTCTAGGGGCGGAATTTATGGTTGGGACCTCTGAAAACTGAGCTGGAACAGGTGCCTAGCAGCTTCCCAGTCAATCAAAAAATATCGGTGGAACCGAAGAGATTGAGTGTGTCTGAAACTTGGCTACTATTCATAGGGAAAAATGATGATTAACCACGGGATGATGATGATATACCCTCTGGTAATTTAACATACCTATGGAACATCACCATGGAAACAATGGGAAAAAACACTATTTCGACTGGGCCATGTTCAATAGTTATTTTGACATAACCAGAGGGTATATCCATCGTTATTATATATATAACCCATTATTAACCATATATTAACCATTATTGACCTATTATTAACCATTATTGACATATGACTGGCTCATATATTAACCATTATTAACCAAGTTTCTACCAAGTTTCCCGGCTTCAAACCTGGACACCCCCGATCCGACGTCTGACTCTTTTCGGGCATTGGCATCCGCGGCGCGGCATCCATCCGCACGGCTTAGCGCTGCAAGCCGATGCCTTAGCCGCGCTTCAAGCGCTTGGCATTCTTCTCCTGCGATCAGATGGGTGAGATGTGGCAGTGTGTCAAAACCTTGTACCCCTGGTGAACATCAAAATAGCTGGTAAATGGATGTTCATCCCACTAAAAATGGTATTAATAGGTATTGATCCATACCCAGATGGGTGAGACGTGGTTTTGGTCCAAACGGACCAAAACCACCGGGCCTAACCGACAAAAACCAGGAGCTTCGATAGAAAAGATGGTTGTTTCATGTTGTTTCCCCCATTGGCGCCTGAAAATTCACTGGTTGATCGTGTTCCCCATATAAAATACCCTCTGGTAAACTAGCATAGCTATGGAAAATCACCATTTTCAATAGCTATGTTAAATTACCAGAGGGTAAGAATTGAAGACCTTCTATTTGCCAATTTCTGGAGCCTCTGGAGCCTCTGGACTTTAGAATGTAGACACATACTCTCAGAGGAAATCTGCAAAAAAAAACCACCACCTTCAAGGTGGCTTGGTCTGAAAATCGCCCCCGAAATCCCACGATTCATCATCGTCCCTATTTTTAGATTGCCAAATTTGGGCTATACTCACCGAGACGAAAAGGCAAACTTGGGACGATCCCGTCACAATCACCTATACCTATGAAGTCGAAAAGCGCTTTTGGTTGCAACATCACCCAGATCAATTGCTGTTGACCACCTCAACGCAAGGCAGATTCCCATTCAAAATCCTCAGATTCATGATAAAAAAACATTTTTTTTACCATCATTAAAGATGATGATTTCTCACAAAAATCACTATTAAACCTCACATTAAAGCCCAAGTGTTCCACAATGTGTTTTGCAAAAAAACAAAAAACACCACCATAAGACCTGAGGATTTTTTCCCATGAAAAAACCATGTTGAATGCTGGAAATCATGGTGAAATTTCCATCAAATCTCAGTAAACCCATAGATTTCCCATGGTTTTCCCATCCCCACAGGCCCGGCCTCCACCAGATGTGCCAAGGGCATGGCCGTCTGCAAACTGCCATGGATCAGCCGTCGCGCGGGGCCCAGGCGTCCCAGGTTGCCGGGCGCCTGGAGCCTCTGGGGGCCACCACTTTCTGCACGCCATTCGTGGAGCCTCGTTGGAAAACTGGTTGGTGGTTGCTGCTAACCACCCTGAAAAATATGATGGAGTGAGTTCGTCAGTTGGGAAGGATTATTCCCATATTTATGGAAAAATAAAAAATATTTGAAACCACCAACCAGTCATCGAAGGAATCCAAAAAGAGCGGATCTGACCAACCATTGGGTTTTCATGATGCACAAACCTGCTGTCTGTCGCTGGAAAATCCTCGTGGCCTAGCCATTGGGTTGGTCCGTTAAAAATGCTGGGAACATCATCGAACGCCGGGGAATGGATTCCAGCAAGCCACGTTTGACGTTGGAGGATCGTAGTGTTTTTTGAATCACATCGAAACAATCTTTGGTAGTCCACACAAAAGTAGTCTTTTAAGTTGGTTACGGTCATTTTCCAGTGGGAAAAATGAAAGAAATTCAAAATACCCCAATGGCATGTTTGATTACTAGACGGTAGTTTCAAGCATCTATTGATAATTGAATTACAAAATCTGCCACGGTCAAACTATATACAGTAATATATCCAGTGGTTACGAGGGAGCTAAGGAGCTACGGTCATCCATATTCCATATCACATGGCTACGTTTGATCACCAGAGGGTATACCCTTCAGGAAATTCAGAGTTTGCTATGGAAGTTATGGCCATTCAGTGCGATGATTTACCGATCAAAAAAACGGCGATGTTCCAGTTCGCTATGCTACTTTACCAAGTTGGATAGTTCTAGATTCTAGAAAGACTTGGACTTGAATAACTTGGATAGGAAAAATCTCTCAAAACCCATGGAAATCCCATGGAAAACCATATAAAACCCATGAAATCCCATGAAATCCTATGAAAAAACTGTATCTCATGGCCATTTTGCCTCTCTCATTGCCATGTTTTCCAAACAAAAAACGGCCCCGACCACAGCCCTGGCGCCTTTGCCGCGAAGCTGCGGTGGCTTGATGCAAGCCGCGCGCCGCCAGCCCGGCGGCGCCTAAAAAGTGGATACCACGGTGATTCCCATAGGAAAACCATGGGAAAACCATGGGAAAACCATGGGAAAATGGTGATTTCATGGTGATGAATCCATAATTTTTATAGCCCCTGGTTATTGAACACCAATGTTATGGTATTACCAATGTGATGTTATTGTTGATAGATTATAACCATTGGTATAATTTCCACCATCAAACTATTGTTTATAAAGATGGAAAATTTATGGTATTACCAATGTTTATCCTTGTTCTACTGACAAAAAATATAGCCCTGAAATTTCTTGGAATCAATGATAAAGAGCAAGAAATCGGACATGTATCGTGTTTTTCAATGCCAACAGAAAAAGAACATCTAGAAACCTCACTGGGTTTCTTCAAGTAAAAATAGACAGGAAACCCCCAAAGTTGATTGAGATGTTTCCTATGATTTTCGCTGAAATCTTCCCAATGACCTATGAGGATTCAAGATGACTATGATAAGACCGGAAAATTATGGGCATCTCACTTTTGGAACCATATTTCAATAACAAAAATTGCATTTAAGAAGTACTAAAAACTTAGTTAACCCTCCTGGAATAAGTGGATTAACACTAGTTGCCCCATTGAAAACCCAGGGTTGTAAGATGTTGTAAGCCTTTGTTTTACGTCATTTAACATACGGAAAATCACCATGTTTAACAGGCAAATCCTCGAACTATCTTCGCAAGTGGCTGTCATAACTGTCATAACCATAGGTATGGGATTATTAGTGGGATAATCCATTTTAGTGGGAATATTATAACCACTAATTAACCATAGTTATAACCATAGTATTTCACCCATTCAGTTCGCTATGGCATGGTGCTATGGATCAAACTTGGGAACCGAAAAAAACTTCGACAATGTGGGGCCCCTGAGTTATGTTTGTTGGTTAGAGTAATCCCCAGAAACTATAGTTATAAGTATCATAAACCATAGTTATTGGAATATATTGGAATTAACCAACTGAACGCTATCGTTTGGGGGCCCTAAAAGTCGACTAAAACCTGTGGTGAATCATGGCCCCAAAATGGACCTCACTAGGTTCCGGGTAAACGTTCTTCGATGTGGAAAACCTATGGTGTTTTGCTTCGGAAAGCGTGGTGCGTTTTCTACGTTCATGGGGAGAATTTTTCCACATCGAAGTGTAAAACGTTGACAGTTGATTTTTCCACATCGAAGTGTAATGTTTCCAATGGAAATCCATTTTGAATGGAATTTTGACCAGAAAAAAGAAAAAAAAACATCCAAATTTCCATTCAAACTGCCATTCCCAATGGATTTCCCTAGGAAAATCCCAGATTTTCCCAGGCAAATCCCCTGAATTCATTGCTTCTCGTAGGGATTTCGTAGGGAACTCCCTGGGATGATCAAACTCCCTTGGCGCCTTTGATCAAGCGCTCCGCATGGGAGGCCCTGGAAGCCGCAGATTTACGGCAGATTTCATGGGGTGAACATCACCGTGATTTGGGGGGAAAATTTTATAGGGATATTCCTTGGGGATATGTGGCAACCTCTGAAAATTGGTGGTTTTTAGCACGAAAACCCGCCCTACTCTGAAAAATATGATGGAGTGAGTGAGTTCGTCAGTTGGGATGTTATGACATTTCCAACAAAATATGGAAAGTCATTCAAAATTCCATGGTTCCAGTCACCACCATCCAGCATCCAATTTGAGTCTGACAATTGGGGAGTTCACCAATCTTTCACCCCCAATTTTTTAATGGAAGTTGATGAACCAACGGATGGGATTTATAGAAAGCCCATTTTCGGACCAACAAAAAAAATGAGACCTTCACGAAAAATAGACACGGCTGGAAAATCTCCCCGACAAGTATGAAACAATTACCCTCTGGTAAACAAACAGTTTGCTATTGAAAATGGCCCAGTCGAAATAGTGAATTTTCCCATCAAAAATGGTGATTTTCCATAGCTACGTTAAATTACCAGAGGGTAAGTTACTTAAAGAATTTATCCTTTATGAATCTACCACCATAAATGAAGCTTAAATCGACAACAAGATATATAAATCCTGCGCTAATTGATGGAGGTTCAACTTCAACCATTCTGAATCTTTTTGTGACTTGCTATGCACCCATCTCACCCAACTTTTCTTGCAAAAAAAACATGGTAACATGAAGTTTCCCTATGTTTGCTCTGAAATGGTGGATTCTTTTAATACCCTGCTACGACTTGATAACTTTCAGTGGGATACATGGTGTTTACCCAAAAAGACCAAAAATCAAGTCGTGTATGACTAGAATCCATCCAATATCTTTGGATTTACGCAGCAATCGCAGCAACTCCCCATCTTTGTCGATGGTGAAATCCCCAAAAATCACCCACTTCTAACATCCACTTCAGATGGCCATGGAAATCACTGGCTTTCAGTACACCCAATCCCACTAAATAACCAAGCAAAATCCCAATTTTGCCACCAATTTTGCTGGTAAAATCATCATCTTCCCCAATGGATTCCCCTGACTCAAAATCATCATATTTCACGTCATCTATAGTTATAATGCTCATAATCCCATCTATGATCGACTTATAAGCAGGTTTTACTTGGTATCACTTTCAGTCATAAGTCACCGTAGCTCATGAAATCCCGTTAAAGCCCATGAAATCAACCAGAGGCCACCATTACAGCCCAATCCCCCAATCTCAATCACCACGATGTTTTTCGATAATCAACTAACAGTACCTCCCAATCCGAAAAGGGGTCCAGTTACTAAAGCAACCCCTACCCTCTGGCAAACATACAAATGTGGAAAATCACCATTTTATCGCTGGCTAAATCAACTTCTATGGCCATGGCTTCAATAGCAAACTGTTAGTTTACCAGAGGGTATATCATATCCAATTGTATCCGCATTCTTTGTTTGTTATAAACCTGTTATAAACCTCAATCTTCAAAAGTCATGGGATTTGGGACAAAAACAACTGGGAGGCTCATCTAATCCAACTGTTATAGTTGGTTATAGTTCGCTATACATCCCATCTGGGTAAATTATAATATTTCACCAACCTGAATTAAGGCCGTTTGGGGATGATTTCCCTTACTAACCATGATTCCAGTGAGGGAGAACAGCGAGGCCGTTTTAATTTACCCAGATTATTGATAGAATAGGCTATTTTTTTTAATCACGTGCAGGGATCCATAAAAAGTCTACCATAAACCATAGTTATATAAGCCATTTATAAACCAACTTTTTACGCTATCTTGGGGGCCCCATCCTGTGGCTATACATCCCATTATATCCCCATTAATATCCCATTAATAATGTCAACCCCGGATTTTGCTAAACCATGGTTTATTTATTAATTAGGGGGGTACTCCTCCAATAGTCATTTCATCTGATACTTTTTTATGGTACCCTCCAGGGTTGACATTACATCCCATTATATCCCCATTATATCCCCATTATATCTACCATAAACCATAGAATTCAGCCATTTATAAACCAACTGCTATCCAACGGGGGCCCCATCCTGTGGCTATACCCTCTGGTAAACATACAAAAAACTATGGGAAATCACCATGCTATTGATGTGAAAACTCACTATAAATCACAATTTTCAATAGCTATGTTAGTCATAACCAGAGGGTATCACCATCATTAATCACCATTAATCACCATTAATCACCATTAATCACCATTAAATCACCATTAAATCACCATTTTCCTATGGTTTTCCTATGGTTTTCCTATGGTTTACCAGAGGGTACATCCCATGATATCCCCATGATCCCGCTTCATGGCTCCCTCGCTCCTCCGCAACGCCACTAGTACGCAGCTCTCCTCCGTCTGTCGGAGGGCCAAGTTCTGTGCGGGCCTGACGAGTGGATGGCCCGATTAAATCGGACAAAACTTGGGAGAAAGTTCTAGAGGGTTCAGGGAAAATCTGGGGAAAATCGAGGCAAAGTATGGGAAAATGGTGGAAAACATAGGAAAACCCAAGAGAAAACGATGGAAGACATAGAAAAATCCGAGAAACAGTGGAAAACATAAGAAAATCCTGGAGAAAACGATGGAAAACATCGGGAAATCTACGAGAAACCGAGAGAAAATGTGGGAAACATAGGAAAACGATGGAAAATCGATGGGGAAATTGAGATGTCACATGATTTTACCATTAAGAATGTGGGGTTTTCTATGCGATTTCGTTGAATAATCATGGGGATGTTTTTTTCATGGGATATGTGTGTGTGTGTCTTGTCATCTTACAGCAGCCCCTCAAGATAGAAAAGTCGTAAATCTCAGCTGCATCTTTTGGATTTCGGGATGGGTCAGTATAGGGGATTGGCTTACGGGGAAATCTATGGGAAACCCATGGGATCTTCCCATGGGTTTGATGGGAAAATCAACCATAAACTTTCCCACCAATCCATTGGAATTGACCAAATGGTAAATTAACAGTTCGACATATGAAAATAGCCCATGTTTTAATGGAAACTCATCTTCCAACCCCTATCTATCTGCCAGGGTCGAACTGTTAATTTGAGGCTACAATGGGGATGGAAAATCACCGCATTTCACAGGTAAATCATCTATTTGGGCCATGATCCACGGTTCATAGATGGTAATTCTCTTCTCAACCGATTGATTTTTGAAAAACCTGTTGGTCATTTATGAAGGTATATCATCAACTATATCAACCCATATGTTTGATGCTTAGTGCAGTTAAAACCCCAAAAATATGTGTATGATGGTTCGAGTTCCCCAGCTGGGTTTGAACAATTTTTCACCACCCTTCACCCGCATTTGAACGTTTGATGCTTTAGGCCCCAACTAGTTTATTTGCCAAGAAATGAGTTTTACCCTCTGCTTATGTCAAAATTGCTATTGAAGCCATGGCCCATTAGAAATCGTGGATTTACCCATTGATTTCCATGGTGGATCTTTCCAGTTCGTTTTTTGTTACTACCAGGCCGGGTATATCCACTAACATCCCTGGTTTTGGTTGATTAAACCTCTATCATCACCATGAAAAATCCCATTAAATCACCATATTAAACCCATAGATATAGTAATGACATAGGAGGGCACCAGCCTGCAATTCCCATCCAAAAAAGCCCATCCTCTGGAGGTCCAAGGCCGCAGCAATTCGTTGTTCCAACCTTCAACAGGGGAAGAACTCAGTGAATGGAAGATTTATAGCCCCAAAAGCCATGAAAATTCATACGGAAAACTGGGGAAATCATCAGTTTTTTAGCCCAAATATCATAGATATATACATTATGTAAAGGATGCTTAACCACTAACAATGGTGATTCAACCACTAGAATCACTAGAACTTTTTTATGGGATAGATATAATGTACATATATATATATACTTATTTATGCCATATAAATGGTAATTACTTGACTATTGATTATATTATATAACTTTTTGTGATGTGGGATCCACCCCAATGCCATGTCGTCGCCATCTATGTTTTCAAGGGGTGAAAGCATCCCCCAACCAGGTTCTCATCATTGAGTTTACTATCCGGTAATTTGTTACATAGCTATTGAAAATTGCACATGTATAAGTAATTTACCCGTTAAGATATAAAATGCATCTTTCATTTCCCGTGAGTTTTATGTATTGCCGCACCCTCTGGTAAATTTAACATAGGTATGGAAAATCACAATGTTTCGTAGGTAAATGATCTCACTACATGGCTAGAACTTCCCTGGCGAACGGTTAGTTCAGCAGACGGCTGCGAAATCCTGCACCAGGCTGTAAAAATCATGGGATTTCTCAGGGGATTTTGCCCATCAACTGGTGCAGGATTTCTTCACCAGCCACAGTATGGTGAATATTTTCGAATGTGGTACCTTCTGGTAAACGTTTACATAACTATGGAAAATCACCATTTTAATATCCCAATTTATATGAAAGTGCCATGTTTATACTATAAATTGATATGACTCATGGCCAATTCCGAGATGGAATGATAGTAATCCCCAATCTGTCCATGATATCCCCAACAAAAAAAATCGTCTCCGTGGCACCGAAACCTGGAGCCATTGAAACCACGCGCTCCGTGGCACAGGTCGTACAACTCCACCTTTTTCGGGCCCCAGGGGGCCCCAGGGGTCTCCATATATGGTGCTTTAACGTGCTAAAAAACCAACAATAAGTGGACCATGGAGATCGGGGGTATAGCCAATCTTACGCACACTTTCTTGAAAAAAACATGTACCATCTGAGCTGTTCAGATATCAGCTTCTGAGGTATTCCCCATCAATTCATGTAGAGAAAAAACGCTACAGTCTCTGTAACCCATCCAGTCGGTTCCCAGCTGGGCGTTCCCAACCACATGCGCATCGGGCACCATGAACGTCTGCAGCTGCTCCTTACAACGCAACAAGAGGTGCCCGGGGCTGAGCTTGACCGTTTGAAGAACAGGTAGGTCGTTGAAGCAATAGACATCTGGGGCACTTCACCCAAAGAAAATGGGATGTAACATGATGTAACGATGTAACCAAGAATTTTATGCTAGGTCAGTTGGCTCGCAGTAACCTAGCGTGCTTGGATATATGGGCTGAGGATATCCAACTAATTGTGGGGGGCACAAAGGTTAAATTTTCGCCGTGATGTCCATTATCATTATATGAATGGTTTACAGTCTGAAATATCTCTCCTGAAATACCAAGTTACACCAAAAAAATCATGCTGAATTCACTCACTAGCCATCCGCGACGGCTGTTTGTTTCGTATTTCTGGAACCCCCATCCGTAACCCATCCCCCAATGGTGTGCCCAATGGTTCCACATGTTTGAGTGGCCACAAATGGAGGTATCCTTCATGTTAGGACAAACCCATTGGGGTATCTGGATCGGACTGTCTTATATGAGGTGAGGATACCCCAAACGAAATCGCAACAGCTTGAGGCACAGTTCACGACTGGTGAATTCGATGGTTTCTGGGGGATATAACTACGAACAGTTAATGCGGTCTATAAACTTTGTACATAGTAGTTATTAACTTTAATGCCACCTTGAACAGCTAATTGGTTATACCCTCTGGTAAACTAACAGTTTGCTATTGAAAATGGCCATAGAAATAGTGGATTTTCCCATCAAAAATTGTGATTTTCTATAGTTTTTTGTATGTTTACCAGAGGGTAACTATGAATTCAATTTCTAACTGGGGGGTCTCACCTTGTACATGTTTCCATGGGTCTTTGAAGACTCGACAGGCCATAGAAATCATGGAAATCATGGAATGACTCCAATCACATCATCACGTCACCTTGTTAATCCACGGTGGTAAATCATGTTACGCAAAATGTTTGGGGCTATGCTATAATATAACAAACATAGCTATTGAAAATGGCCATTTATAGTGGATTTTACCAGAGGGTATGCTATAATATAACCATTTCTGGACCAGAGCATCCAATAAAATGGTTAAAAAAAACATGTTTGGCCTAACCCATGTATCTGGACAACGTTTTTTAGAATTCACTTACCTTATTCCCCATAACTAAAACATGATTCTGATGTCGCGAAGTGAGGTTGTTACAATTCATTCATACATTGTAACCATATCACATACTACTGTTCATAGATCCTCATAAAACATCGCCATTTAAGCATCCCGTTGCAAAACACATTGATTCAATCCCCTTGAATTCCATTGAATCCCACTAAATCCCATGAAATCCCATTAAATCCAACTAAATCCCATGAAATCCCATTAAATCCCATTAAATCCTGCTAAATCCCATGAAATCCCATGAAATCCCTTTAAAAAGGCTTGGGAAAAGATCCGGTGCCGCACCTCCGTGATCAGCGCACTGGCCCGCTCCGTGGTCGCCTCACCCCAGCGTGGTTTTCCACATCGACTCATCGATGCCGTTGTTGTGACGGAAACGGACCGTGTAATGATGGAGAATGATAGATCATAGATATATATGATATATCTGATATAGATTTACGATATATATATATATATACATAAATGATCATGAAGGACCTTACTGGAAATGCTCTTCGGCATCTTTTCGGGCCTTATTATTATTATTATTATTGTTATTATTATTCTTATATATATATGTAATCTCAAAAAAAACTTTTGGGGGCAGAAAAAGGTTGGGTGAAAATGGCCTAAATGGTGAAGAGACAACCCAATCCATTAGAAACGGCTTGACTGCTTTATGTAGTGATCAGTGGTGGTTCATGTTCTTTCGTTCGATGGAACATCTTCCAGCAACATTTCAAGACTTTGTTGATCTTTTTTGGGCAGAAATTCAGAAGCAACAAAAAAGATTGGTGTTAATTTTTGGGTGAATTCTTGGAATCCCCCCTCAAAAAAGATATGAACGGATTCTACTTCAAATTAATCCCATCCTCCTAATAGTAAACACCCCCATTGCATGATCCCAAATATGTGTAAATCCCCTATTGAACCACGGTTTCTTGGGGTGTTAAATCTTCTAGTTCCATTACACCCCCATTCAGTCCCAATAAATCCCACTAAGTCCCATTAAATCCCATTAAGTTCCATTAAATCCCCTTGCTGTACTGTTGATATCCCTTGATCTTCGTTGAAAGTATCAATAAATCCCATGTAGAAATATCCAAAATATCCAATTCCCAATTTTGTTCAACGAATTCCCAATTGTGATACTTATGAATGATCATGCTTTGAAAAGGTCCATATGTTCATGTCCATTAAATCTATTGATTTCACTCCTAAAAAAACACACCAAGAATTCCCATGTAGATCGTCCCTTGAGATCCAGAAAGAAAGGGATTCAATGGATCCCTTGACCATTCCATTTTTGTTGATGGATAGTTAGTTTATATATTCCATATTATTCCATATTATTCCATATTATTCCATATTATTCCATATTATTCCATATTATTCCATATTATTCCATATTATTCCATATTATTCCATATTATTCCATATTATTCCATGAAATCCCATGAAATCGCTACTTGAAGCAAGTGAATGAGAGATACATGAAAATTAATCATTCATTAAGTCTATGGATAATGAATTTTCCCAGCTATAAACCTCCTTTTTAAAAAGTGGATTTTCCATGATGTTCCATGATTTTCCCATTAAATCCTATTGCTGGTTGGTGGTGCAACAACCATCTTGAAAAATATGAGTCAATGGGAAGGATGACATCCCATATACGAAATGGAAAATAATCCATTCATGTTCCAAACCACCAACCAGTACATGATATGTATATACCCTCTGGTTCTTTAACGTATAGGGAAATCACCATGCTATTCATAGGTAAACCATCCAACTACCCTCTGGTAAACTAACATAACTATGGAAAACCACCATTTTCTAGCTGGGAAAATCCACTATAAATGCCAATTTTCAATAGCTATGTGACATAACCTGAGGGTAAATGGGCCATGGCCATGGTGATCCCACGCTCATCGTCGTTCCGCCTGCGCCACGGCCCGGCTGAAAGGGCACAGGTCCGGTGTGCCCAGTGCCTCCACCAACGCTCGGAAGCCCACCTCGCGGCGTTGCTGGATGGGTTGAGGATGGGTTGCTGCAAAGTGAGGCCCCCGTTGGATAGCGTAAAAAGTTGGTGAACATAAATGGCTGAATTAACTATGGTTTATGGTAGATATAACGAACTAGATAACTATGGTGAACATAACTACAATTTCACGTTTGGCTTTATGGTAGGCAAATAATCATAGTTAGATGGGGTTATAAACCAACTTATAACGTTTGGGGGCCGCACATTGTAGGATGATTATTGATAGTGATGACTGGGATCATTCCCGAAAATTCCCTACGTTTAGCACAAGTCGATTTTGTTGGACTTTTCTTTGAACTTGTGATTTGTTGGAGTTTTTTGGTGGCTTTAAAATGGTCTGTTGGTGATTTTGGATAGGGTTTCAAAATTTAGGTTTTGTTGGTGATTTTTCAACTCAGAAGCTCTGAAGCCGTTTTGATCATTTGTTTTTGCTGTTTTTTTCTCACTTTGAAATGCTGAAGCAGTTGATGGATTTGTGGAAAAAATGCCTTGATGGATGCCTTGATTTCGATCTTCGTTTGACCGTCGTCATCCCGCCTTGGGAAAGGCCAAGACCTTTCGAAGCCGCAAGCAGAGTGGAAGACCTCGGTCTGTTGGATCCCATGGGATCTGAAGCCCAGTCTGTTCACATCCAATTTAAGCGATTTGAATGATGGTTAATCAGTTAATCATGATTCTTTATATTAAATATATATAAACTGTATCTGATCACATAAAATAGCACTAATTGAATGTCTGTTTAAATCATGATTTAGATTTATGATGTGTATCATAGTATCGGATTGAATGATTTTTTCGATGGGGTAGCTATGGAGATGTTTCTGGTTCCAGGTTCCAGAACCTCGATGCTTCAGCTGGCCGGGATTTGTCGTTCATCACGATGGATCTAAGGTAGCCCATGGAACATGACTATGGTCAATGGCCATGACTCAGGATCCGATTCATTGGAGGTACCGATTCCATATTAATAAATAGGGCCTATTTTTTAGGCCTATTTTTTGGGATCCTGGAGATCTCCCATTGATATAGCTATTGATCATTTTTGCATTTCATAGCTATCTTTCCGTTGGATGTGCATTCGGACAAGTGAGAGCTCCACGCTTTAATTGGTTGGATCCTATATCTAGAAATTTGGGGGTGATAACTCTCAAAGAATCCCAGGTGTTATCGTTGGTTAAACTGTTCTGTTATCGTTGGAACGCGATGCACATCCGAGTGCTTTCTCGGGACTGTACTGTTCTTTTAGTGACTCCTTCCTGTGGCTTGGGAAGTGACGTGTTTAAACAACACAGGAGTTCAGTACCATTTGACCATAGTCAAAATGGTGATGTTTCCGTCAAACGTGAGGATGGTAGTTCGATGATCGATGAGTCGTATTGATTCATGATATTTGAAAACAAACAAAAACTAGTTGGTGGTTTCAATCCCTCTGAAAAATATGAAAGTCAGATTGGATCATCATCCCAGCTATTGGGGAAGTCATAAAATTCATGTTCCAAACCACCAACCAGAAAAGTACTTCCAGGTACCCTCCGGTAGACTAACATAACCATGGAAAATCACCGTTTTTAATGGGAAAATCCACTATAAATGGCCATGTTCAATAGCTATGTTAGTTTACCAGAGGGCAGATTGATGATGCTTCCCAGCTCATTTCCAGCTTTTCACGTTTCAGCATCAACCTTGATTTCGGGCGTACCCGGGGTACCCGCCTGTCGGAGCTTGCATGACCTGTGGCTGCATCGGCACAGCCTGCGACTGGACGCTGGGAAGATGACTGGGAAGATCTGCTACAAGGTGGTCGATCCAATCATAAACCATGGCTTTAATGATTATTTATATGATGGGTAAATTATAATAATTATTGGATAAATATATGGGTATATGGTGATAATATAAACTATGGTTATATGGTTAATAATTTAACTATGGATTATTTAATATTATTCATACATATATATATATATGTATGTACATATATGTATACGTATAAGCTTCCAACTGGTGTCAACATAGATTTGGGGGGTCTTAAGTCATGGCAGATCCCCAGTCGTCACCATGGTTCTTTCAATGCATACTTTGGTCGTCGACGACTGGATGATTTGGATGATTTGGGGCACCCCCATGGACGGAAACCTCCAAAATGGATTGCTCAGTGGCTAGTTTCCCTACACCAATGGCTGTACAGTGGCTGGTACAGCGGTTGTGATTTTTGGAGGCTGGGTGTGATTTTGGAGCCAAAAAAATTAGCTCTGACTGAGCCAAAAATGTACAGTGGTTGTGATTTTTCCTTCTGCCAAGTAATTATCCCGATGATTGGTTGGTTTTTTTCGGATGTCTGGATTCTAAATGTCCTAACTTTTGCACATCACCCAACAAAGCGAGGATATAAATGATCTCCAACAGATAGCTTTTCAAGTGATGGCTGGAGCAGTGTCTGGGCCGCTCCAACATGCACAACTTGACCCATCTTCCGACTCCTGAAAAGCCCCAAACCCTCTTGAAACACGCGCAGGCGTGCCAGCAGCCACTTTTCCAGTGTCAGCTTTATGACACAAAGTTGAAGATCTGCTTCCCTCCCCTCGAGCTTTGAAGAGCTATGGTTAAGCCATGGCCCGATAGATATTTGAGTGATTATCTATAATGATCTACCCAAGAAACATGGTGATGTTCGATGTCCTAGAGTTATCTGAAAAATAACAAAGGGCAACCCACTAGTCCATTCCCAAGGCAAAAAAAACACCCCGAGCAGGGCAGGCAGACACCAAGCACTAAAGAAGTTCGATGTTCGGTGTCTAAGTCTAAACTGAGGCGTACCAGCTCACCATGTCCAAAGTTTTTTTCGCTGGAAAGGTATCGATCACACACTGTGCCCATCAGATTTAAATCCTGAGTTCCCATGTGCATCTCTATATATATATATATATACTGGTTGGTGGTATACCTACCCCTCTGAAAAATGATGGCGTTCGTCAGTTGGGATCATTCCCAACATATATGGAAAGTTAAATTTCATGTTCTAAGCCACCAATCAGATATATATATATATATATATTATGGGAAAATCATGGAAATAAATGATGAATTTTGCGAGCCTTTTTGCCCCAGGCCGATTTTTTGAACGGCCGATTTTTTTGAGCGGAGCTCGGGTACAGAAATCCGGCATTTTTGAAGACATATCACATGTCCTTCCAGAACGAGGTTGCGTTACGTACCCTCTGGTTATTTAACATAGCCATAGTATAGATGGCCCATTTATAGATGGTTTACCTGTTAAAAATGGTGATGTTCCATGGCTATGTTAGTCATAACCAGATGGTATACACTCTGTAATGAGGTAACACCAAATAAACCATCCCCAAGTTTGAGGTTTATTATTGATGATGTAAAATGATCGGCACTGGGATGGTTTATTCTATTCACCATTCACCAAAGTTCAGTCAGTTTTTTTTGAGTTTAAGCAGCAGAATGCGGAAATGATCTCCCGTAAATCACAGGTGTCTTCTGTTGCATGAGATGATGACTCTTTCAAACCACTGGGCGCCTCCCTCCGTGTGTAGCTAGGCCTGCAAAAGGTTTCAGTGACATGAGAATGGCTACAAGAATGAGCGGCACCTTGTTGTTGCTATGAGTCAGAAACGCCCTAAGAAACACAACGGTTTCAGCAGACATTGGAGCCAACATTTGTGCCGTCTGCATGTCACTGCCGGCAGTGTCGACACATCTAGAGCGCGGCCATTCACAGGCTCTGTCTCAAAATCTACGCGGTCGGACGTGGCGCGCGGCGGCATTTTTCGCAAAATGCAGTGCACGTCTCAAAGTGATTCTGCTCGGATGTGCATCCTAGGAATGGTAAGTGGAAAATAAAGTTACCATGGTATCCCCCTTCAGTCATTTATATAACATAGCTATTAAAAAAACAACAATGATTGTAGGATTTGTAGGTAGATCATCGTTAAGCAAATCGGCTATGGCTTAACCATATAGCTATGTAACAACCAGAGGGTAAGCCATGGTATAACCCAAGTATTGATGGACAAAGGTCCACCTGAAAAGTGTCTAAGATTCCAGACCCCGCCGTGTCCCTTTGTGTCCTTAGCTATCGGTATAAACTCCCACTGTTTTCGGAGAGAACATCATCCTAGCAAATGCTAGTTTGATGCTAGTTTCCATGGGTTTTTTCATGCTGATTCCGGAACACCAACAAGATCCAACATCGGAATGGCTCAGAGCTTCGCTGCGCCACCCAGCGCCACCGGTCTCGTGGATCCCACATCGTATATTCCGTCGTGGGAAAATCGATTGGTCACACGCGGAGCGGCGGAGCGGTGCGGATTGACATTTGGCACGTCCTGGATCCATTGGAAACCCGAGTTTTTCAGAAAATCTCTGGTTCTTTGAAGTGTCCCAGGTCAGGAAAATGAGAAGCATAAAGGGCCCGTGATCATTTGAATCATTTGTCATATTACTATGTATAATTATGTCAATGCATATATGTCTATAAAATCATACAACCATAGAGCATTATATTTAAGTATATACAACATGCAATCAGAAGCAATAATGTTCTTTTGGTAAAAATAGAGGGGCCGATTTGGTATACCAGCTATCATCATTTACCTGTTGTTAAAGGGGTAAACAAACCCCTCTATTAATCAACCAACCAATGGGAAAAGGACATCTATGATCAGAAGAGTCATTTGTCCTTATTTTAGGATTGGATTCTACTCTTCTATATTTTTTGGGGTATCCTCTGGTAATCAAACATGGCTCGCTGGAAAATCACCCCTTCAGTTCGATGATTTTCCCATTGAAAGCCACATGATTTATATAGGGAAATTCCAATCAATTGCTGTGATTGATTACCTGCGGGTATATCATCATTACCCCATTATTCTAAGGGTATCAACATCACTTACAACACTCAGATTTATCCCATTAAAACCCCATGAAATCTCATCACAAATGAGGTTACATGACTATAAATTCACCGTAAATCACTCAAAATCATCTAGAAATTGCTGAGTTCATGTCATTTTCATGAAATTCTCCATGGTTTTCACAGGGCTTCTGTCCATTTTTCAGATTTTTAAACCTTCATCCTGATGGGCATCTTGGCCTTCCAACCCTCGCCCGGTGCCCAGTCTCACGGCGTTCCGCTCTTCGCGAACCGAGGGCGGTGAAGCGACAGGGTGACAGGGGGCAGAAAACGACACGGAAAAACTTGAGACTTTCCTGGAAACAAAAACCATGGGTTTTCTGAGTTTTCTGTACTTGGTGCCAAATTTTTGCTCAAGTAACTCATGTAAAGCTGAGTGGTGAATGTTGACAAGTTGATCCGTTGCGAAATATCTTGGATCTAGCATCCTGGTGCCACACTGTCAGTTGTTTGGGGATTGCGAACTACCCGATAATTTAACAGGTTGCTATTGAATTGAAAATCACCATGTTAATAGGTAAATGCACTATAGATGGTCCATGTTCAATAGCTAGGTTAAGTTACCAGAGGGTAGGCTAACGATTGGGTTTATGGTGGATATATACATATAGTCAAGGATCCACCTTCTTAAGGGGGAATGACCCAATGTCACGGGTATGTAAGTGAGTAATGGTTTGGAAGCCAACTAACTGCGGTGTGAGTATCATTTGTGCAAGTTTTTGAATGACAATTATAACGAGTAATAACGAGTAATTTTGTGCCTGTTGCAAGACACCTTCAACCCCCAAAAAAAATCCGCGTGCTGCAAAACAGATTCGATTCGGCCTTCATGAATCAAATCACCAGAAGTCACCAGAAGTCACTTAACACCTTGCCATCTCCACGTGAAAAAAATGGGGTGCTGGCGTCGCTGGTTCTGCTTGACCGCTGCAACTCCAGCCCCGTGTTTCCTGGACACTGCGACGCGTTGGTCACGTGACTTGCGCAGTCACGTTACAAGTCCTTGCTGCGTCAGCATTTTTTGGTCAAAAGATGTCATCTTCCCTCAAAACGAGGGGAGATCGAGTTTAAAGCAACAACAAAAAAAAACGAAAATTAGAGATTTTTGTTGACACAAACACAGAAACAGGGACTCTTTTGCCATCATCTTGCAGCATATTGACTTCATATATATAACGTCGTGCTAGAACTGGTGTCACCCTTTGAGTGTTTTCACCTGCTGGGTCTTCTCCCCGACTCAGTGCGGCTTGCCAAAAAAAAAGCCTGTTCCTCCAGATGTTCCCTTCTGGGATTCCTTCATCAAACAGAGAGATTTTCTGGGGGTTTTTACCATCAACAATGGAGGAAGATCAAGAACTACGCAGGGGAAGAAGTAGTAGTACCTTTTTAGTGATTCCTGTTTTTTTTGTGGTCGATACCCCCATTTCTTTTTCGGACCCTGGCAACTTGGGGATTTTCCCTCTGATATTTCAGACAGAACAAGCAGAGTTTGGATCGTAAAAGTCCAGGTTCTGATGTGCCACTGATACGAAAAAGAGGCAAACTCTGCTGATGATCTCGTGGGAAAATGTCCAGTCTCCGAATGATAGATCATTCGGATGAGTTTTTCTTAAGTATTATATATAATATATATTATAAAAATAATAATAATAATAATAATATATACTTAACCGACCAACTAAACAATTTTGTTGAGATGTTGACCAGTTGATTCAACAAAAGAATCCCCCCGATTTGGCGCCGATCAGCCGATGGGGTCATTTCCAAGAAACATCTTTTGGATTTCGCCGAAATCCAAGTGGAATATAAGATGAAATCCAAGGGAACACCAACCATGGATTTTTATCAAAGTTGTTATGGGATTTCATTGTACAATGATGATAAATAATCCATCAAATATAACGAGTTCCGATCCGGAGAGCCACTCAAAAGTCGGATTCGAGTCGGTTTCGGGTTTCGGGTTTCGGGTTTCTGGTTTCGTCGATTGAAACCAACTTTCGCTGTCGGTTTCGGGTTTCGGGTTTCGGGTTTCGTCGCTTGAAACCAACTTTCGCTGTCGGTTTCGGGTTTCGGGTTTTTCGTCAACTTTCGCTGTCGGTTTCGGGTTTCGGGTTTCGATCAGCCCTGGGGAAGTTAAGTCTTCAGAGTCGGTTTCGGGTTTCGATCGGTCCTGGGGAAGGTCAGTCTTCAGAGTCGGTTTCGGGTTTCGGGTTTTGGGTTTCGGGTTTCGATCGGTCCTGGGGAAGGTCAGTCTTCAGAGTCGGTTTCGGGTTTCGGGTTTCGGGTTTCGATCGGCCCGGGGGAAGGTAAGTCTTCAGAGTCTCGGGTTTCGGGTTTCGGGTTTCGGGTTTCGATCGGTCCTGGGGAAGTTAAGTCTTCAGAGTCTGTTTCGGGTTTCGGGTTTCGGGTTTCGCAGTTCGAAACCAACTTTAATAGTCGGTTTCGGGTTTCGGGTTTCGGGTTTCGGGTTTCGCTGGTCGAAGCCAACTCTGCAGACCTCTCTCCGGATCACGTCTCAATATAACATGGTGATATTGGATTTTTGTTTCACCATCAAAGTTTTTTATCATCGGAATATGGGCTAGACCTTGCACTGATCTATGACATTCTATGACGCTCTGACTGAGCCGAGCCGCCCAAGTTGACCCAGTTTCCAAAATTTTCCCACGGGCCGCAACTCACATTGCCTTAGCAGGCGCTAGGCCGTTCTGTTCTATGCTGGGTGCCTGTCAGACTCAGCTTTGATTCGAAACTCGGAAAAAATCTAATCTTCACTCTGTTCCTCTCACAAATTCTCTGGCATTAAACTACAACGAGCCCTTTTTCGGAACAAGAAGTTTCGAACACAGACTTTTCAATTTGACCAAACATCTTTTTTGGTTTCGATCATTTTCTTAGCCCGGGCCCCAAAAAAGAATCCTCTCTGGTAGCCCTGCAGCCAAAATCTCCGGTCCATCGGTGCATCTAGTCCATCTAGTCCACTGAGTTTCATCATGTTTCACTCAATTCACCACTATGTGTACGATAAATGGATATATGTGGTAGTATAGTGTCTATCTATATATATATATATAACTTATATATAACTTATAACATCTTATAACTCAAAAATATGTGTTAGATGGAAAAACGGATGGAAAGTTGCCTAGTTTCATCAGTCGCTTCACTTTTCCAGATCAGAACGTGAAATCTCTCCACGCCAAGCAGCGACCAAGAGGAGCGAAGCTAAGGGATCGCCTCAATGAGACTGGGATTTTCAGATGTAAAAATGGTAAAAAACCGTTGCATTTACCCTCTGGTAAATTAACATAGACCCTGGAAAATTAGGGTTGGAAGACTAGTTTCCATTGGAAATTGGTGATTTTCAGGGTCTATGTTTATTTACCAGAGGGTAATGGGACTTTAAAAATGGGAAAAAGTCGTTAAAATTCACTGGGGGTTGCTGGGATTTGAGTTTCTGTGAATATGGTATGAAGAGTATGAAGATCATCTATCGATATTTTTTACATTGCTGGGATTTGATGGGAAGAGTCAGCCAAGAAAATAACTGCTTGAAACCTTCGGTAATCAAACCTTTTGAGCGTGCTGGAAAATCCACTATTCATGGACGATGTGTGCTATGAAAACCTCCATTTATAGTGGATTTCCCAGCTAGCCACGGTTGATTACCAGGGGTTTTTGTATTGAAAGAGGCTTGATGATGGTCAATATCATTGTATACATAATGACTCAATGGATTTTCTAGCCAAAATCTGTGGTTGAAACCATTTTGTCAACCAGACATAGGGCTTTCTCGTGGATTTTCCGTTGACTTCTTCTATCTTGGCAAAGAGATAATTACTTTCAGGATATGAAATGTCTGAATCCCCAGTGATGTTGATATCTGGTTGGTGGTTGAGCCTACCCCTCTGAAAAATGATGGACTGAACGTCAGTTGGGATGATGACATTCCCAACTGTTTCTGGAAAGTCATTCAAAATTCCATGGTTCCAAACCACCAACCAGATATAATATATATATATATGGTCATATATCTTCCCATGTTTTTCATCTTCAGCAACCAATCCCCCTAGAAATCCCCAGTGATTCAGGATAATATGTTGATATCATTCCACATCACCGATGGCGCAACTGTCTCTCAACTGTCCCCCCAGGAAGCTTCATCCTAAGAAAAACCGCTAAAAAATTCGTGGCGGATGAGGATTTGATCATTTAAGCCAAAGCACTTCGTTTGCATTACTATATCTATGGGTTTAATATGGTTGTTCATGATGTTCATGGGATTTAATGGTGATTATAGATGATTATAGAGGTTTAATCAACAAAAAACAGGGATGTTAGTGGATATACCCTCAGGTAAACGTTTACATAGCTGTTGAAAATCACCATGCTAGTGGGTAAATCAACGATTTCGACTGGGCCATGGCTTCAATAGCCATGTAACAAATTACCGGAGGGTAACCCAACGACCACATTTCTTCATGCGGTGGTGAATCCCCCATATCAGCAGCTGGTGATTTTAAGATCACCTCCTGGTGTCCAATCAACAGCAGCAAGCTGGTCCCAGTTCCTGCACCTGGTAAAAATCTTGTCATTTCAACGGCTTCCCGTTGTTGTAACATACTGCAACCAGCCACCGCAGAACATGATTTCCATGGTCAAATCGCATGAATGTGTTGAAATCATCAAAGTGATAAATGGTGAAAAAATTACCATCAGCAAAAGTCTGGCCTGGTTTTTTATAAAAATGGAAGCTGATTCAGAGAGGTTTGGATCAGATAGGGTGTTGCAAAAGTACTCAAATCTGCTCGTTTTTAAGTTCAACTTGGACCAAAATTTACTCGTTTTGCAAAAATGAGGTGCTCATCTTGGATGGTGTTTTTTTTCCCAGCTATAAACCTCCATTTAATAGTAGATGTTCATGGACTTTCCTCTATTTTCGCATGTTTTTTCCTATATTTTTTCCCCCCCAGGATCCCATCGGCCCTTTTTCCCATGGCGGCCAAGCCGGGGCGCCTATCGTTAACGCGCCGCCCGCGAGGAAGCCAACTCCCGCGATGGTCAGCAAACCTGGACGGAGGTCACATCCGATGATCTGCCGGTGGAGAGTAGCCGAGTAGCCATAATCAATGGATTGGTTTAAGGGAAATCTACAGGAAAGCCCCATATTTAATGGGAAAATCTATGGTTTCCTGTAAAAAAATCCCTTAAACCAATCCAATCACATAAGAAACATCGAAAAAGAATGATTTTTACCATGAGAGGAACCTGAATCAGCCTGATCACAACGAAAAAAAATATGTGAAACTCAGCTAGAAAGAACGGTGATTTAATGGCATTGTAATGGGATTATCATGGAATTATAATTGGATTGCTGAGGGATGATGATTAATATATATATATATTGTATACAATCATATTGACCTTCATTACCCTCTGGTAATTGAAATTGGCCATAGACATAGTGGATTTTCCCATGAAAAATGGTGATTTTCCATAGCTATGTAAACGTTTACCAAATACCAAATACCCCATGGCAATCCAATATGGCTGGGACCTCCCTGAACTGAAGCTTTCGATCGCTTGGAAAATCATCGGTCACTAAATGTTGGATTTCCCGGAAATCCAGGTCATGTTAGGGTCATGTCCCCAAATCACCACCGAACCATCGAAGTGGGGCCAAAAGGTCATGGCTGGGGTCACTCGATTTTTCCCAGATATCTCTTATTTTCCTCAAGATCTGGCCGTTGTTTCTCTCAAGATCTTTCCAAGAGTTGCCATTTTACGAACAACTCATTGGCCAAAGCTGGTTGTTCTGCCATCATCGGCCACTGAATTCGAAGATTGCAGTTGGCCAATCATTGTCGCCCTTTGGCCGGTTAGAAATCTTAGGGTTGAAACACAGGCAGCCTTTGACCAACATCCAATACTGGGATCATCTAACACATACCGCAACGCGGCTTAGATGCTGGGACTCATATCATGGCGAATCAGCCAGATACACAAAAAATGACCAATTCTTAGCTGGTGAGTAGATATTCCATGATATTCCATGATATTGCCATCCAGTTAGAGTATATATAAAACTATCCATCCAGATGGTTACTGTAACCCACTTCAAAATAGTAAATTCCCTTCAACATCTCAAAAATGTTGGTTAAATCACCATCCAGTTGCAATCCCATCACCTGCTTCGAAACTGCTTCCCAGGTGCTGGTGGGGGAACAGCTACTGCGACAACAGTCCGGAGAAAGTCCGTTGCCACCTCAGCGCGAGCCATGTTTTCGCCCTGGGGATCGTTGCGGGCGGCGCCTGAAAAGATGTGAGTTAGGTGATCGTTGCGAGCCATTTCGAAGCTGATCATGTCAGAAAATATCCCATGTTTGTTTCTGGGACATCAAGTAAGAGATATCAAGGCCATAGCATTTGCGCAACTAGTCTAACTAGTCTTAGATGGCAGTGTGTCAAAACCTTGTACTCAAAATAGCTGGTAAATGGATGTTCATCCCACTAAAAATGGTATTTATAGGTATTGATCCATACCCAGATACCAACTTCGGACAGAAACCAGAAAAACACCTCACCTTCCCTTCCCATCCAGGTTACTGCTGAAGTCGATCCAGTTCCTTGGGAGTGGAAATCCCCATGGTCGCATGGTCCCCTGTTGGAATGTGGAAATCCCAAAACGAAAAAATCCCATGGTTTCGAACTACCCTCTGGTCAACTAACATAGCGAACTGGAAAATCACCATGCTATTAATGGGAAAACTCACTATTTCGACTGGGCCATGTTCAATAGCTTTTTGTATGTTTACCAGAGGGTAAGGGGTGTGAAAAATATGATGGGGAAGGGATTGTTTAAGTATCCAACTAAAATGGGATATCTCTATCCAACTACTTGGTCCTTACTTGGTTACACTAGTGGAATTGATAGGGACCCCCTGGCTGGAACCCCCTATTCCGTACGGGAAGATTGTGGGAATGGGGGTCCCATCAGCCACGGAGTCCCTATCAATTCCATGGACTTGGGGGTGGCTATCGCTATGGGACTGCAACCAGCATACCCTCTGGTAAACATACAAAAGCTATTGAAAATGGCCATAGAAATGGTGGATTTACCCATTAAAAATAGGGATTTCCATAGTTTTTTGTATGTTTACCAGAGGGTAGTTTGGATATAGTCCCAAAATACGAAGTGCTTAGAGAAGCACTTCGTGTTGGAACTGCACCCCCCATGGGGTACCCTCTTCGATTTAGTCATTTAGTCATGGTTGCAGTAAAAGTGGTAAACTATAACATCAAGATGCTTAGTTACGGTCAGCCTCTAAGATGATTGAGTTATGGTTAGCTATGATTGCCCTTTGGTAAACTACAGTTAACCATCTTGGATTCATCTGAGTACAACTCATATTCGATTCATGGGTTACAACCAAACCGAATACCAATGGGACATACGATAGGATTATATATTATATATATACCATCTGGTTATGACATTCACAGTTCGCCATGGAAAATCCACCCATTTTTTAGAATGGTAAAGCTCCATAAATGGACCATCTATACCATGGCTATGTTAGTCATAGCCAGAGGGTATATAAAAAAAGGGTGATTTCACCAACCAGAAATAGCATGTTGCTGATTTGATTTGTCTTCAGGATCATAGAATCAAGAAAAATCCAAGAAAAATATACCCTCCAGTAAGTTCATAGTTTGTGAACTGCAAAATCAACATGTTTGATCTGTAAATCTCTGAACTGATTGGGGACCCAAAATTTCCACTTCGCAAACTGTGAAAAATGACTGAAGAGTAGATCGAAGTCATCACCTAACATTTCATCTATCCTGGATATTAACAGCTCGAGTTCGACTCTGATTTTTTTTGCATTTAGCGCAACTCATCTTCCAGCCCCTAAGAAATGGCAGGGTCGAACTGTTAATTTACTGGAGGATGAAATATGTGTGTGTATCTATATAATAATATACATGTAGTCAATGGTTCTTATAAGTTGAAAACAATATTTAACAATCACATTAGATTCTTAGATTGTGCCTCCAGTTAGTTGGAAAACTCAATCCAATGATGTTAACAAATGTACTTTGGGGCCATTTGTTAAACTGTTAAACGCTTTCAGTAAGGTCACTCGTGATGATCAACTGTACTGTGAGATGATGATCAACTGTAGTCACGTTCTGTGGCCGATTGGAACAGAAATCTCGTCAGTACAAAACAACATGATAATGATCGTCACCTTTATTCTTTGATTCATGTTGATGATTATATAAATTATATGTATAGTTTGATGGCGATGATGATAATGACAACACTCAGTCATCGGAGACCTTGTTGCAGTATTTAAGATTATATGTTTCAATGAGTTTCACGATCGTTGTAAATGGGCTTAAACATAGAGAGAAGGTTTTCCAAAGTTGTAAAGGGAATTGGATCATCATGATTATGGTGATGTCGACAAATCCGGTCCTCATACTATGAAACACCGCCTATATGGTCCCAAATATGCAAAAATCTCCTCCCAACCATTATTTCGTGGTCGTGTTCAAAAAATCAGGGGAAAGGATTAGATGGATTTTTGTATGTTTTTGTTAAACTATGATCATTTTAGTAATATGGACTATTAGAAGGATTACTATTATAACTATTCCATCATTATTGTTCGTTAGTGATTAGATGGACTGAATCTATCCTCAATCAATCCATTGGACGAGTTTTTTCGGTGCTCTCCATGTTTCAAGTTTTCAAGAAAGGGCAAAAGGGGCACCCCTATAGGGGCACCCCCAAAAAAAACCTAGAAAAATCCTATATTCCACGATTATTCCACTATTATCCCACTATTATCCCACCATTATTCCACTATTATCCCACTGTATTCCAACAATATTCCCATCATATGCCGCTGGATTCCAAGCAAAGGGTAGTTTCCCAAGTCGGTGGCTCTGCGAATGCTTGTCTTGGTTGAAAACGGATTTCCCATGTACGAGAATCCCCAAGATGTATACATAATATATATATATCCATAACTCATCATCAGAATATAGGATATAGGTATCATACATCATCAGAATATATAATGTATATATATAGGATAGCATAAGTATCCATAACTCATCATCAGAAGCTAACCCCCCAACTCAACAAGACCATATCGCCGGGCTGCGCATCCGCTGCGGAGATGCACAAGAAGAGAAGTAGCTGGAGAGCCTTCTGGCGGTGGACGGAACAAAGGAGTCACACCAATTACCCTCTGGTTATGACTAACATCGCCATGGAAAATCACCATTTATAATAGGTAAACCATCTATAAATGGGCCATTTTCCATGGCTATGTTAAATAACCAGAGGGTATCCCAAATGGATCGGGGGTATGGATCGGGGAGTATGGATCGCCTGTGCGTCCGGATGGATCAGGACCTGAATCATTTTGAGATTTCTAGCCAAATAGAAACTATAAAGTTGTTAAAGGGGTTTTATAAGAATCATAAATTGGCGATTTCTGGTCTAACTACTTGTAACTACAATTGGGAGTCTACTCTTAGATTGATTGGGTTATACAGCCCCTATGAGATTGACTGGGTTCTATCTTTCTGGGGGGTACGAAAAAACAATGATCATGCCATAAGAATAGTGGTTAATGACAATTGATCAGGTCTTTCAAATGGTGATTTATGTTGACAAATAAGAATAATAATGGTGGAAAGAAAGCTTTGTCATGGTGAATTACTATGGTGTATGATGTCGAAACCAGTTGCTGGCATGAAAAAAATGTGGATGTCTACAAAAATCTGTGACTTTGAAGCAAAAACTGGAGGCTACAACCCAGTACCCTCTGGTAAACTAACATAACTATGGAAAATCACCATTTTTAATGGGAAAACTCACTATAAATGGCCATTTTCAATAGCTATGTTGGTTTACCAGAGGGTAATTTATGGGGATACTTCATGGAATAGAATTCGACTGGATGGTGGATGGGATCAACATGACATATTTTTCAGAGTCGACAGATGGGGGGCAGCCCTTTTTTTATTCAATTTCTTGATGACCATAATGACAAACTGGCTTTTAGATGTAATTAATTGGACAATTTATGACAATGTATTTAAAATATCCCAGGGACAATAAAAAAGATAGATATGTCCAATTTTCTAGATATGAAATGACATTTCCATTGTCAATCAACTGGCTTTTTTATAGATGACATTCATCTCAGCTCATCTCGGAGGGTCCATAGGATGTTGGAAAACCCACATCAATTGACGTAGATCAGTGACGTTTCCTTTAGGGAAATGATTTGGGTTTTGAACAGCTTTTTGGAGCAGAAAAAACCCTGAAGTATATACTGCTCAAGCACGTTGAAGGATCAACTCATCCTTCACCAGTCTACCGTACGAATCCGCCCATCTTTTCCGAGCCTTTCCAAACTGCATCCAGCCAAGGTAGTTTGAGAAATCGCCCAAAATGCTTCGAGTAAAACGCCTCACCGCCGCAAAAAATCATTGGCAGCCGGTCACTGTGTGCCCCCATGACTGGGTAGCGGGTAGCTGCTAAAGGAGGGTTTCGATTTCATGGGGAAGAAGTAGGCCCAAAATATATGGTAGTTACCTGCAATTTTTCTCGGTTCCTGTTGCATGGCCATTGAATTTGAGTGAGCTGGGAAAATCTGTGCAATCTCCAGGGAATGATATTTAGAAGCTTTGTTGAGTTTCCTAGGTTAACCAACTGGATGGGTACAAACTAATCCTGAATAGTCTTTTGGTATGGGATTATCTACTAACTCACCAGCTAAGAACTTGTCATTTTTTGTGTATCTGGCAGATTGGCAATGATTAATCACCATTAATGATCAAAAAAATCACCATTCGAAAAAACCATTGTTAACCCTTATGAAAACCATGAAAAAAATACCATTTCCACCTCCCCTTATTACCCTCTGGTAATTTGTTACATAGCTATTGAAAATGGCCATAGAAATAGTGGATTTTCCCATTGATAGCATGGTGATGTTCCATAGTGATGTAAACGTTTACCAGGCCGGGTAACCCTTATTAACGGAACCATTCAGATTAATGATCATTAATCACCATTAATGATCATTAATCACCATTATTCACCAATGTTTACGTGAAAATCTCCCATGACCTCCCAACCAAAAATCCCCCAATGGCCCCGCGCCGAAAAATCCTTCGTCGGCGACAAATGTGCGGAGTCCGGAGAGATCCACCCTGGTGAAAGTTGGTCATCCGCAAAATTCACGGCGAAAAAAACGTGAGATCTTTGGAAATTCCATATGTACATATATAGAATATATATATGTAGATATGGATATATATATATGTATATATATCATAATCTAGAATATTTATATGAGCAACTCGAGAATTCATATATTATGATTATGATTTATGATTATATAATAATATGTTTGATCTTCATAATATGTCATAATCATCTTTGGAAAATCATAGTCATAATATTACCAACTTATCCAAAATGTTCATATGACCAACTTCTGGATTATGATGTATATATATATACATATCTATATACATATATATATATAGTGGTTATCTACATATCTATATACATATATATATATTTAGTGGTTGGTAAACCGCTGGATTTCAGGTGGAATTTTCTAATGGCGGTATGGCATGGGAGGTTACTAGATGCAACTAGAATCAACGTTGGAATGTGGAGCAAACCGAAATCACTTAAAATCCTTCTGTTGGTTGGGGCTGGACACGGCCGTTTCTTTCCTGATCTGAGCCACACAAACAAAACGGCTCAGTTTCCAGTCTCCAGTTGACCTCCTGGATGCTGATCCCTGCCAAAAACCAAAAACCAACATGGATTTTTTCTTTGGGGAAAATCATCACCGGAAAGCCCCATCGAAATGTTCCGTTCAAAATTTCGAAACTGGGCTTTCCGGTGAAAATGTTGTCATCATCCAATTCTGGCCTTGATTGATGCTGATTACCCTCCGGTAATCAAACATGGCAATGGAAAATACACTATTTAGAGGTGACAGACTCAGCAACTGCCTGCCTGCAGTATAGTCCTATAGGCTCCAAGAAAATGAAGCCCGAGAAGAGAAGCGTGAAGTTGTGGAGAGCCTAGTGGAGATACCCGGAGACGAAAAACCCAACAATTTGGTACGACGTACATATAAAATCATATAAATGTGTATATATGTATATCTGAATGAATATGTAATATGTGTGTATATTTATACGTATATTATAGATATATATATTTATCTTTTCTATCTAATGTGATTCTAAAAAGTCAGCGCCCTAATCCTCAATATGGGGGTGCTGGGAGCGGTGACTATATACATATACAGGATTTCATATACACATATAATATCTACCTAAATTTCTACAAGGATGTAGTTTTTACTATGTAAATGATTTTAATATTGTGTATCTAAAGATGTATAATGTGTATATCTATAAATCAATGGCCATTTCAGGAACCAAAAAAATGGAGGTACCTACCATATATAATTGGAGGTATTCCCATTGAATAAAGATTCCTTGCGAAAATCGACTCAACGAAAAGTTATGGACGGTTGTCTCTGTGAACCACGCAATAAAATGTCAATGCAGCAAGCACGCAGAATTCGGCTCGTTGCTTTTTCGCAAGTGTTTTTTATTACTAATGCTATCCCATAGTATCTCTTAATATCATGAAAAATTGGTTAGCAGTGATATCCTCTGGTAATTTACAACATATATAGCTATGGAAAATCACCATTTTTGATGGGAAAATCCACTATTTCTATGGTCATTTTCAATAGCTATATGTTAGTTTACCAGAGCGTATCCCATTCTATCATGTTCTATCGAAAAAATTAAGTCTCCACATTTTTTAAGATATCTGAAAAACATCCCCCCATTTGGGGTTTTTCTGTGCAGATACCTACCCAAAATCCACTGGTTGATGATCACTTTTCCTGTTAATCTTGTAATTTTCGGGTACCCTCTGGTAATTTGTTACATAGCTATTGAACATGGCCATAGAAATAGTGAGTTTTCCCATTAAAAATGATGATTTTCCATAGTTATGTGACAGTTTACCAGAGGGTATACCCCATTTTCGGACACGCTCAATTTGGATATAGTTAGTTGCCCATATCCCGCTATATCATACTCTATCCTCAGTGACATCCCATTATCGTACATATCACCATGTTTGATGTTTTTGTTGTTCTAAAGTTCCCATGTTCATCCGTATTCACTACCCTCTGGTAAATTAACATAGCTATGGAAAATCATCATTGTTTATGGGAAAATCCACTATTTCTATGGTCATTTTCAATAGCTATGTTAAATTACCAGAGGGTAATCCATAATAAGGATCCTTATAATTGTTATTATAAATTCTATTGGATGACTAGCCCCTATTAATGGTTATTAACCATGAGTATTGACAATAGCTCATATCAAGTTTTGAATGGTTTTGGGGTTAATAAAACATCCCATTGCATCCAATAGTTCAAGTCACAAACAAACAGCGAGCCAGCCACAAGGCTCGCCACAAAAAAAAACTGGTATTTGCTGGTAAAATGGTAGGGATTCCAACCACGTGCCTTTTTTGGGCGAACTCACCTATCTATATGTAGAATTTTCATCAGTATGTTACTCATGATTCACCATCAATCAACTAAAAATGATACCCTCTGGTTATGACTCACAGTTCGCCATGGAAAATCCCAACCATAAATGGAGGTGTCGTTCGCTGGGAAAATCATCTATTTCTATGGGCCATGGCTTCCATGGCTATGTTAAATAACCAGAGGGTATATATATATATATATTTGGTGGTTAAACCATTATGTAGGGGGGGTTCTTAGAATGGGGGTACCCCTAAACCATCCATTTTAAAAACGGATGTTCCATTGTAAACCATCCAGCGAACTTGGGGTACCTCCATTTTAGGAACCCCCCGTGAATCATTTGAGTCTTGTGAGAATCTCGAAATAAGATCCATGTTAGTAAACCCCTTCTTCATCTATGATTGTTGCTTATATAGCCAGTATTAACCATTATTATTGTTGGTTATATATATATATATGAAATTTATTTACCCAGTTGGTTTGTAAAGCCCATTATATAACTATAGGTCTATAAGTACCAGTTGGTTTCCAAACCCCATTTTTACAAGATGTTACAAGTACCCGAAGACCGTTCCCCTGACTTTTCAGTGATGTGGCCCCCAACTTGTCACACGCCTGGATGATGAGCTACTGGGCTTTCAGAGCGCGTGCGATGAGAGTGCCCAGCTTCGAGCCCAACCAGCGGCAGCGGTGCAAGAAGCGTAAGTCTCGACGAGGAACGAGGACGATTTCATGGGGATTTCATGGGATTTATGGGGGTAATTCACAATGTCATGTGAGTTTACCACCCATTTTTCTGGGGAATTTCCATACCACCCATAAAACCAAATACGCTGATGACTGCGGATTGGCTTTATTGCTGTTTTACCCACAAAAAAGCATGGATTATGATGGAATATGGATGTGGGTCAAAATGGAAGACCGTTAAGGGGACCACAGATGTGAATGTCTAGTTTAGTATTAACCATCCAATTATTGGGGATATCATGGAAGATATCATGGAATAGAATGGAATATCATCACTCGGAGGATCATCCCGCGAAGATCGTGTTTGTGGCTGTACCAATTTCTGTAGGGGCCACCCACCGCACGAGTTGGGATAAACCACGAGAAATCTCGTGGGATGCTCCAAGAGCTTGAAAAACCCCCAAGGCGGCGATGATGACCACTGATTGGAGCAATCCTGATCTTCAGATAAAATCGTCGACATGTTGGGATCTTTTTCCGGTTTCCACTATCAAAATTAAGCGATAAAAAAACAGGCTTTCTCCCCTGTTTTGAAACCAAGCCCATCCGTGGCTTCGTTCGAGACGTTTTTTCGGGACGTCAAAAATGACGGGGATCCATTGTTTGATCGTTCACTTTCAATCATAATTAATGGTGATTAATGGTGATTAATGGTGATTAATGGTGATTAATGGTGATTACCCTCTGGTTATGACATTCACACTTCGCCACGGAAAGAAAATCACCATGCTATTAAGTTCGGGAAAAACCATCTATTTAACAATGGGCCATGGCTATTTTCCATGGCGAACTGTAACAGTTATAACCAGAGGGTAAATCACCATTAATCAGCATGAAAATCACCATTTTTAATAAGTAAACCATCTATAAATGGACCATCTATACCATGGATATGTTAAATAACCAGAGGGTATAAGTCCCTAGGTGGGTAACCAATCAACCAGGCTATTTGGTTCATGGCTCACCTCATCCTTAGACAGACAAAAACTTCTCCCCGCCTCAGTCAACTCATACGCCTCGCCTGGCGGAGGTTGCACAGACAGCTGGATGTTTTTCGAAATGGAAATGGAACATCCTGAAAAATCTCTGGAAAATCATGGAAAGTATGACAGCTCTGGCCATAATCTTTGCAAAAAAAAACCCGAAAAAACCATCGGAAGATCCTGAAAATCCATGGTTTTCTGGTGCTTTGAAGGGGATGTTCAGGCCATGACAACCCTGCCGTGGCATGATCCCTGGGATGATCCTCCAAGGATTTTCACCCAGTGATGGGAGGAATGGAATGGTCACAATGACCACGAGCCGAAGATTCGAACGGAGGAAGACACAGAAAACAAGACAGTCACGTCAGACACAAGCAGGATGGCATGTAACACAACCCGAAAAACCAGAGATATGTATGTATACCCTCTGGTAAACTAACATAACTATGGAAAATCACCATGTTTAATGGGTAAATCCACTATAAATGGACATGTTCAATGGCTATGTTAAATTACCAGAGGGTATATATTCCACAAGAATCTGCCCTTTTTTTCCAATCACAAACTTCTACATATCGTAAGTTTATCACTTTTCCAATCTTCCAGTCCTGGGGGGCTGCACTGGGATGAGGTTCCAAGGTCTTCTCCCCGTCCATCTCCGTTGAAAACATTTGAAAGGCCACTTGTAACAAGTTTGATCCATTTATCTCCATAAATATATATTTTCATAAGGGCTTATATCCAGCTACATGTATATCCATCTAAATCCATATGTATACTATACATATATGCATACATATATATTAGTTAGACTGATGCTCCCCCGTCTTTCTCATCTAACCGCCCACATTATTATACAAGCAAATTCTATGGGGTTAATACCAAAGACAGGGGAGCAACACCTTACAGAAAACAATAACATAAATCATAACAACAAAACAACAAAACAAAAAAACTCAAACAACCTAAACAATACAATAGATTATAAAAAAGACTATACCATAAATCATAACAAAAAAACAATTTCACTTTTATAATTTTGAAATTATAAAATGAAATTTATGTTTGCTGTTTCTTTAAGTTCTCCAGATGCTTTGTTGTTTGTGTGTGTCTCTTGTAATTCTTACATTGAATTTCATAATCATCACATACAGGGCAGGTCATCCATTTTATTTTAGCATTTACTTGTTCAATGTTTTCTGCTCTATGATTTCTTCTTCTTTCATTTATTTCTTCCCTGTGTGTCCTACCATAATTTCTAGCATATTCCTTTGCCTCCTCTATATGATTGTAATAATAGTCTCTCCTCCTTTCATTATATGTTTCTTTGTTCTTTTGATGATTAGCCCTCATATATTCCCTACATTTATCACAAGTTTTGTATTTACCCTCTTCCATTTCCTTAAAACATTTAGCACACTTGACTTTAGTATCCTCCATTACCTACTATAGATAGGTAATAACTCTTTAAGTGTCTTTCCTATCCCTTTTCCCTAGATTATAACATAATCAATAACATAAATCAAAACAACAAACAACAAAACGAAAAACTCAAACAACCTAAACAATACAATAGATTATAAAATAGTCTATACCATAAATCATAACAACAATAACAAAATCAAAACAACCTACTACAAACAAAATACAGACAAAAACAAAGCAACAAAACAACAATAACAAAATCCTAACAACCTACTATCAATAAAACCTATAACATAAACCATAACAACCTCATCATATCAACCCATCTCATCCATCTCATCCGTAAAAATTAAATATAATAATCATAATTGTATTGAATAATTTTCATCAAGGCATATACAAATATACATCATCTTGCCTTATCTATTTCATAGGTGTTATTTCTAGAAATCATAATTGCTAGAAATAGTCCTAGAAAATAATTGCAACATAAATTTAATAGAATTATTTTATCAAATTTATGGGGACAACCAACATAATTTTCATAATTATTTATTATGAAGATTATGGGATTAATTACCACAGTCTCCCCCTATAGGAGAAGCTTCAACCCCCAGCCAATATACTATCCCAACTCGCAGCATACATACCAGCATACATACAAACTAGCATATCACAACAGCATCACATCTTTCTCAACCCCAAATCTCTTTAATGACTGCAATTACCACACCCAAACCGCCCTTCATGAACTTGTTGATAACCATGTCTTCTTAACCTCAGCGCGGTGTAAATGGCACGCCTGGGGCGAAATGGATTGAAAAAGATTTGTGTGGTGTGCGTCCAGACTTGTTGGTGCCAATCTTCTCAAGTTTTTGGAAGGGTTTGTCTTTGTATCAGGCATGAATGCACTGGATGTCAAGCTTGTGAAGGCTCACTGGCATACATGCTCTATTGAAACAATGCCTACCTAAATACTGTGCATGCAGACCTTTTCAATCGCAAAGGACCTGCTCAGAGCACTGTTTTGCTTTGCCCTGTTGGCGAAGCAAGCCTTCTCATGCACTTTCGTCGTCGCAAAACGTCATCGCCAAAATTGGCGAGTAACTGGCATGAAGAAAGTGATGACTAGTGATGACTGTCTCAATGCCCGATGCAACAATGAGGACAGGCAAGCGGACACCATTCGCAATCGCAAACTTGAAGTCCTCGCCGCCTGCCCGACGACGTCTGACTTGCCCTGATTTTTTCCAGCTCACGTTTTTTTGCGAGGCATTCACATTGCCTGTGCTGTTGGTGTCTGTAGCAGCGCCCAATGCAACAATGATGAGGCAAGCGAAAAAACGGATTGGCGCCATGAACATGCCGACACCCCTAAGCTAAAAAGCGTGCCCGAGTGGTCAGCAAAAGAGGATGAAAAATTACACAAAATTCCAAGCTCAAACTGCAAGAGCTAATTTCTGTAGCTTTCCACTTGAGAATGTCAAAGATGCTCAAATTGAAACAAATTCCAAGGTCAAGCTCTCCAAGAACATGTGGCTTCAAACCTCCGACTGACATATTCCCAACAGCTGAGCGTCCCGACAACAGGATGAAGAAGAGATTGATGACAAAGCCAAGGCGAGGAAGGGCAAAGGAACATGGAGCAATCCCAGCCAATGACCCAAACGTGCCGAACACAAATTTATGGGGAAAACAAATGAAGGACAAAACACAAAACCCTGAAATCAAAGAGCACATCAAATCAACCATATCATGGTTGCATCATGGCTTTCTAAAAACACTAAATCTTTAAAAGTTCATGCCTCATCAACAATCTTGGGTAATCAGTTAATTTGTAATATTTTTGGTTCAACTTTTCTGCAATCTCTTGCACAACATAATAACCTTTCAGCCAGTGGGAAGTTCTTTCTTTCTCTGTAATTAATTTTTTCTCTTAATCTTTACCCTATCACCAACATTCAACTCAGGATAGATTTTTTCCTTCTTTGCCTTTGATGCTACATTCAGCATTGCCCTGAATTCATTTTTATCCTTCCTTGCTTGATTAGGTGTCATACCTGTGGCGGAGTGTTTCATCTTATCATTATATGTGAGCATAATTTCTAAATTGTAGTCTGTCCACTGTATATTCTGCTTTTCAGCTTTTTCATCAGCTTCAACTCTTTTGAAAAGCATATCCTTATACGTTTTTATGAAACGCTCAGCAAAAGCGGGATGACCTCTTGTTCTATACAACTCAATACCTTCACCTTCCACATAATTTTTAAAGTCTTCACCTGCTATGGCACGTTCATCATCAGTGTAAATTATTTTACTTTTCTTACCCATTTTCTTTAATGCCTCTTTAGTTGCCTCAAGGACATCCTCACCATTTTTTGTTTTAATTGGAACTACCACCGCAAACTTGCTTAAAACATCAATACACACTAACCCACCTCTATATTTTTGTTCTTCATCAAAATCATAATAACCCACAAAGAACAAATCTATCTGGAACGTGTGAAAATTATGTGGTGCTATGAAGGAATTATGACCTCTTGGCTTTGCTTTTATTTCTACATTCTTTTTAAAGAATTGTTCAACATCTGACATTTTTATTGTCGGTTCTTTCTCTCTGGCATCTTTTAAAGTAGTAGCCTGGCTTCCATAGCCACTTCTATCAAAATAAATATCACTAATAATATTCTGCTTATTATCAGCCATTATATTTATAATGATATTTTATTTGAAAAAGCGCAATTACAAGACACACAATAACCTTTACAATTATCTTTAAAGTGAGCTTCACAACAATTAACTCTTTGACAGGTTATATTTGATGAAACCTTGCCATCTTCAAAATCTATCACCAATGGTTCATTACAATTTTCACACTGGGTATTCATCAACTTCATCAAAAAATCTACATCAACATATTCATTTCCTTCTACATCTCTACCTGCTTTTTTGTCTTGCTCAATGTAATTAAAAACCTTTCTCTCAAAATACTGCTCTATTATCTTTTTAGATTTACTTTGCTCACCTTCATTATATTTGAAAAACTTGATTTTGCTAAAGTCTGTCGCCCTTGTGATACTGGTAAAAAACCAATGCTTACTAACATACCATTCATTCCAATCATATATCACTATATCACCATCAACACTACAGCCCTGCTTTGAGTGAGCGGTGTAGCAGTAAGCATAAATAAAATGTTTTCTCAATAGTTTCAGTTCTATATTTTGCTTCTCACCAGTTGCCACATTTTGTAAAACAACAATATCGCCAACAATATTTACAACCTTAAATTTAAAATTGACATTAAATTTCTTGCCTTTGGTCTTGATATATTTTCTACATATAACTTCCTCATTTATCACATACTCTTCAGTTATATTTTTCATCTCTCTGATTTTGCTTGAAACCATTTTACAGGTGTTATTTGTATAAGCAATATTATTCTCATACATTTCTATCTTATCAGTCCATTTGAAATATGCATCAATGATTTCTCTAAAAGGTGTGCCTTCAAAAATCAACCTTTTAACATCTCTTAACTTTTGCCTATCTTCTTCAGTCTTCAACCTCTTACATTCATAAAGCATAATATTATTTTTGAAAATCAAATTAA